AGTGACACCACAGGACCAGGACCACAGAGACAAGGAACAGAGGCCGGGGCTGAGGGTCGGGCTGGTCAGTGTAGCCCTGCTCTGCGGTCAGCAGTGGGGGGGTGGACAGGAGACAGACACGAACAGGGCGCTGGAGATCAGGGTGTGCGGCCAGACGGCAGCTGGGCAGTGGGCCTCCACCCCAGCTTCCTCCCTCGGCCAGCAGCCCGGAAGGGCAGGCCGGGACGCAGGAGCCAGGACAGACCTTTCCTGTCCCTATGTCCCGTCTCTGTGGGAGAGAAGGTCACCGGGAGCTCTGCCACCCMCTGGCCTCCCAGCTGGCCCCTCCTCCAGGGCCACAAGAGAACACTCACCCTCAGGGACATGCCACCCTGACCACGTGGTCCCATGGCCGTGGGAAGGCCTCGGTGACTGCCCGGGCCTTCCTGTTATGAGCAGCAGCCAGGCCTGCTTGGCTCCCTGACCATGGGCTCACTGGGCAGCCCGGGGCCTCCTGAGCTCTGGCTTTGCAGTAGGTGGAGTGGCCAGGCCTGGCCTGTGAATCACCAGCTATAAACCTCCGCCATCACCAGCCCGAGAGCTGGCCCACATGGCCTGTGACTCACCACAGACAGCTGGGCCCTCGAGCCCAGGGGTGGCTGCTGGCCCCGGTCCAGCCTGTGAGTTCACTGGCCACTGCCAGGGGCCAGGCTCCGGGGGTGGGCTGGKGATCTCCTGGGGCTGGCAGGAGGAGCTGCCTGGGCATGCAGCTCCCTGGGCTAGACAGAGGCTTCTGCATCGTACACTCGCCACTGCCCAGGACCAGCCGTAACCCTCACCCACAGGGCAGTGGACACCATGGCGGGCCTGCTCCACGGGCCAGAGTGCAGGCGGCCACGGGCAGCAAGTGTCAGAAGGCTGAGCTCAGACACCACTGCTCAAGTCTCAGGGCCCCGCAACCTGTCCCCACTTGCGGTGTGCAAAGTGGCCCTGGAGTGACGACCAAGCAGCTCTGGGGCGGGGCACCCAGGGGCCGGGGGTGGGCCGACTGCCGAGCTCTGGCCTGGTGGGGAYGCCCAGGACAGTAGCCTGTGTGACGTGGTGGCGTCCTGCTGCCCGGGCGTGGCCGAGAGCAGGCTCTGACTGTGCTTGACACACAGGCGCCGTGAGGAACAGACTGGCCAGGCCCCCAGAGGAGGGTGGGCTGCCCATCGGCAGCCTTCGGCCCCACCAATGTCCCTCCTGCCCGGGGCTGCCTCCCTGGCTGGCCACTGGCTGTCAGTGCCCCAGGGGACATCCAGGAAGGCTGCTCCAGAGCCCCTTGGTGGCCAGGCTGGGTGAGGCAGCCAGGGCTCTCCACCGCCCACCTGTGCTCTCCTCAGGGCAGCTCTCAGGCCTGGCCTGCAGGGTCGAGGGCAGCTGGCAGTCCACATCGCCCCAACCCTGCAGGTGACTCCAAGGACAGAGAAGGTCCGCAGGCCAGGAAAGGGCACAGCCCAGACGGCCCCCGGAGTCACTCCTGCCCCTCAGAGCCAACCCCAGCCTCCCACTTCAACCACTGAGCCAGGAGTGGCCAAGACAGGGACCTCAGCCTCTGGGCCTGGGTGATGAGCCAGCCAACTAGGGACGTGTGTCTTCCACCATATGACACAGGGACCACAGCCTGGGAAGGACATCACGCCTACTGTCAGCACCTGGGAAGTCCCACCTGCCCACCTGGTATCCGCCTCCTCAGCTCCTGTCCGCACAGTCTGGTGTGTGAGCACGGCTGGGCCAACCTGCGGTGGCCGTCCTACAGCACCACGCTGCTTCTCCTCTAAAGGGGGCGTCTAGCAGCTCTGGCATGCAGGGTGCCCCGGGTGATCACACACAGCCTGTGCATGGGACAGACGTCTCTCGGGGTAGGCAGGTCCCCGGGGAGGTAAAGCAGAGGCCCGCCCATCCAGTGGCACCTGTCGTGCTGATGAGCAGAGTGAACACTGGTGACCAGCTTAGCACTGGTGTGGCCTGGGCCATGACCTCATGTGGCCACTCAGGAGAGGGGACAGGCATGTGGACGGGGCTCTGGAGTCTGAGAAGGAGACACAAGGAGAGACAGAGGGGCAGCCACAGCGGTCACAGGGGAACCTGGGAGCAGAAGGGAAGGAGGCGGGCAGGTAGACAGGCAGACGGACAGGCAGACGCTGCCAGTCACAGGGCCCGAGCTTGTCCTCAGGCACGAAGATGCAGGTGTGGGCTGTGGCCAAGCCACTGGCCACTCTACCTGTGTCTCGCCACAGGACCCAGCCCGGCCCTGCCCCTCCAGCGGCACCAGCCACCAGCCTGAGCTGGCTACTCTGTGCTGAATGCCACCTCCCAGAGCGCAGGGCGAGGGCTGGAGTCTGACCCAGGGGCAGAGGCCCCCGGGGAGCCCCTCCACGCCCGGCCCCATGTGAGTGTGTGAGAGGGTCCTCACAGCACCTCCCCCCGCACACCCAGGCAGGACCACATGGCCAGGACCACCATGCCTTCTGCTGCCCCGGTCCCCATGTCACCTCTGCAGCCAACAGCGCCCCTTCCCCTCCTGCTGCAGGCCAGCCCCTGGGATCCACCTGAGGCTGCCAGGTCTCCCTGGACTCCAGCGCCCATGGGGGTGCCCACAGTTCTGGCCAAGACCACCMGGGCCTCCTGCACGGAGAGAGGACATGGACAGAGGGAAGCTGACCTGTGGTGCAGCCACCCACCTGCTGAGCTCCGTGCCAGGGAGAGGCCCCCCCCTTCGCCCTGGCCCTGCCCTGGCCCGAGGCCTCCACGGCTCACCTGCAGGTCAAGGCAGGGGGCTATATCCTAGCTGGAGGGTGCTAGACACGCCACTGGCCCAGAAGCCCACAAAGGGAGGAGAGCACCAGGCAGCAGGAGGCAGGCAGGCAGCCTGTGCCCCACCAACCAGTGCTCAGGCCACCAGGATGGCCAAGAGTCGGTCAGAAAGAGGGGTCGCGCAGCCCAGCTTGCCTGGAATGCCCGTGCCCACTCACAGGCCTTGCCACCAGGGACGGACAGCCTCACCGCACATTAAGAAGCCGCAGGTGCTGTCACTCACAGCATCAGCCACCTGGAAACCACCACTTCCCGCACCTCCCCCTCATCTGTGCCCTCACAGCCACTACGCCAGGCCGCATTTGTCCTTCGGGTGTCTGGGAGGATGACCCAGCACGGGGCAACAGCCAGGTCAGCGGATCTGYCTAGCACAACAGCGGTCCTGGGGTTCAGGTGTAGACGGGGAGGGGCCAGCATCTCTACCACAGCCAGGCTGATCAAGAGGGGACATCCCTGAGACCCTCCCGCACACAGGGACACAAGTGGGGGCGCTGCCCTGTGTGAGAGTCCAGGCAGAGACAATGACCCTCTCCTACCGTCCAGGAGCCCCAGGACCCCCAGGCCAGCCTGGCCTCTGTCTCAGGTCACATGATCCTTGGGCCTGTCCTGGGGGCTGGCTCGCAGTCTCGGGGATTCCTGTGACCTAAGATTTAAGATTAAGATTAAGCTTCACCTAAACCCAGATTTCTAGCCCACCATCAAAGACTCAGAGAYGGCAGCTCAGAGGGCACAGAATGGGCTGAGCTGGATCAGGGTGCAGGTCTCTGGGGAGCCCCCACCTGGCCAAGCCCCGCCACCTCCCCAACACACGGCGAGCGGGAGCACATGCTCCCGGCCTGCGTCCTGTGGACACCAGCTGACGCCAACGGGGCAAAGGTAGTCCCGTGTCTCCTCATTCACCTGAACCCCAAGAGGTCCTGGCCCTCTTCTGCAGCCCCCTGCTCTCCCTCAGGTCCCCATGCCACCTGGGCCACCCTCTGCTCCTTCTGGCCGGGTGGGGGCTGCTCATCAAGCTCACCCTGGGGTCCCCCATCGTGTCTGCTCTGCACGGCCAGCTCAGAGCCCCCTGGGCCCAGCACACGGCCAAGTCCACAGCGTGGGTAGTCAACGTGAAGGACGTTTCCACAGAGGAGGGGCGTCCAGCATGGGAGCCACCACACTACTGGGGCCACCACGTCCTGGTTTTCCCCTGCTGGGCAGGGCAAGCAGGCTGGCCAGCACAGCTCTGCAAAACCAGCCGGGGAAACCCCAGCCACAGACCACATGCTGCCGTCCTTTAAGGACCCCGGGGACAAGGACAAGGGCTCAGTCCTGAGCATTTCGGAGGGATGTTCAGAATGCAGCCAAGGTGGCTAACTCCCTCAAGACTCACTTCCTGCCCGAAGCTCTGCTCAGAACGAGGGCGAGTGCCTACTTCACATGGACCAGAGAACCCCACTTGTGAAGGCCAGCTCGATGCCCACACAGTCCTGGGAAGGGAGGTTGGTGAGAGACGCCCGCCCCTGCCTCCATCCAAACACCAACAACCCAGAATCCCCTCCAAACGTGTCGCCGACCCCGAAACCTTGACCGTGTTCACGGAATGTTTTCCAAACCAGTGCTCTTGTCTGCCACCCAGGCCACTGGGCTCCTGCCGCACAGCTGCCATGGCGCCAATGGCCTCAGCCACGTTCCAATAAAACTTTATTTGCACAAACGGGTAACGGGCGGCCTGGGCCCAGCCTCTGGCCAGCCCTGTCCCAGCATGACCCTCCAGCTCCTCCTAGGCAGGGACCCTGGGGAACAGCGGCCCAAGACTGGCTGTTTTTTCCCTCAAATACACACTAAAACAAACACAGCAAGCTGTTCACATCTACAGCGCCTGTGGGCCACCCCTAGATGTCCAGGGATGCTCACTTGGGAATGGGGTCTTTCACCTCAGGGACCCCCCCAGCCAGGAGCCGGGGAACTGGCCAGGCTGAGAATGTAAGTGGCCGTTTCTCTTGGGCACTCGTCTCTGCTGCTGGGGACACTCCCAGCAGGACAGGCATCCCGGAGGGGTTCTCCCCAGACCCACCATCACCGAGGGAAGCCGGGCTGCAAGGCTGCTGGGCACAAGCTCGGGCAGGCGTGGCCGCCCAGCAGGTGGCCAAGTCTCCAGGGACGCCGCCCACACCTCCTCTCACCTGGCTCTTGCCTCGGCGCCGGTAGCTCCGCCGCACCAGGCTCTTGTAGTTCTCGTTCTTCTTGGTCAGGTAGTAGTAGAGGACACACTCGGCCACCGTCTGCAAGACCGAGGGCACAGGTGGGCGCTCAGAGCAGGGGCCAGAGCCAGGCGCCAGGTGAGAGCATGGCTCTGGCACAGACTGGTGGGTGGCCACAGGCAGGTTGCCTGGCCCCTTGGGGTCTGCACACTTCAAGGGGCCGTCAGGAAGACCAGCCAAGCTGTCGCAGAAGCAGTGCACAGGGCCGCGCCTGGCCAGGAACAGGGGCCCGCGGGCTGCAGGTTCCTTGTGCTGACCATAGAGCTATTAGAGGCGCCCCCTCTGCTGGCGCAGAACAGCCTCCCACACCTGCCCAGACAAGGCCAGGGCTCCTTTCTCTCGCCGCAGCTGCCCCTTCCTGGAGCACCAAGCCACGCACATGGGGTCCATGTCACCCTGTCTGCTTCCCTCCCACGTGAGCCTGCGTCTGAACCCCAACAGGAGCCACGGACACCCTCAGAGGGCATGGCCCAGCCCCCCCAGGCCAGAAGTCCTTCCTGAGGTTCAGGCCAGCGCCAGGCTAGGGTCACCCGGGAAGCCAGTCCACAGGCCTGTCAGGGTGAAGCAGGCCAGACCCCAGCCACCTTAAACAAGAGCCCCCCCATAGGCCAGACGTGCCACACAGAGGCTAGCCCCCGCAGCCCCTGCCCACGCTGCCCACCAACGTGACCTTAGGCAGGAGTGTCACATCAGCGTTTGCATGTCAGGCCAGGTGCTGCCTGAGCTCCGGATGATGAGAGCTCCGCGCGGCTGGTGGTCCCCGTGGCCTGCCCCGTGTCAGGCCAGGCTGTCCACCCGCCTCCCAATGGGCACCTCCTGTCCTGACCCCTCTGGAAGCTGTCATTGTCATGGGGGGCCGCCATGAGGCCAACTCTTCCCCCAGAGCCCTCCCTCCCAAGAGGGACTGCTGTGGCCGGCTCTGGACACCCTGCCCCGCCTCTGCACCAGGACGGGCGCTCCCTGGGAGGGCGGCTATTTATAGGGCGCTCTCCACACACTGGTTTTTCCGGCAGGCAGAGCTGCCTCCCAGCGCCCATCTCCTCCTTGTATGGTCGTGTGCCATCGGGGCTGACACTGGGAACAACTGCTGTCCTCCAAAATAACCGCCTGGATCCCACACCCAGGGCCGGGCTCCGGCCACCACCCACGAGCCCGGGGCCTGGGAGCAGTCTGGTGCGGAGCTGGGGGCACCGGGTGCCCACCCCCAAGGAACAGGATTCATGGCACTCCAGGCTTAAACTAGGGGACAAAGTGGGACTCCAGCAGGCTTGTCCATGTGGACTGGGACACGTCATCCACACACCTGGCCTGGCGTCTGGGCATCAGAGAGCTCAGTGACCACGACAGGGGCCTAGAGAGCCACTCCACCAGGGCTCTGGGAGGCCCACGGCCCCATCCACAGGTCTTACTGGGGACACCAGGCAAAGCAAGGCTTCCAAGTCACATCCCCAATTTGCAAAGATAATTGACAGCACTCTTGAGGAGTGGGTGGGGAGACTGGGCACGCAGGGCTGAGGGGACACCCCTACAGGGCTCTCCTGCATTCCCACATGTGCGGCAGCAGGATGCCCCTCCCCATCCCAGGCCAGGGCGGGGCCTGGAGTGCTGCTCCCTGAGGGGGGGTGGCGGCCTCTGGGCAGGGAGGGTCCTCTGCCTTGGGCCTGGAGTGGCCACCAGTGGTATGGAGGGAGCCAACTCACCTTCCTCTCCAGGAACGAGGCAATCAGGCCAAAATTCTTGGGATGCTGCATGAACCTGTGGGGAGAGGGGAACGGGTGTGAGGCTGGGCCCAGGGGCACGTCCCCGCAGGGCGGCCTGTGAGCGCCCAGGCGGCGGCCATCTCCACGGCTGTGGTGGGCACCGCCCCACTCAGAGCAATTAAGTTGGGGGTGTGGGAAGGGCTGGCGGTGGGGAGGGACCCGGAGTGAGTCACAGCTGCAGTGCCTTTGAGATGTGTGTCTGTCCTGGGGAGATGGCTTCCAGGAAAGACGGGATGTGCACCGGCTCTGCCAGGTCCCCTTGAAAACCTGCCCTGGGCCCCCCCAGCTGGGCCTGGGAAGCCGGTTGCTTGGGAAGAGGTCGCGGCCGCCAGGCAGCGGGCTCCCGAGGGAGGTGCAGTGGAGGCCCCGAGCCTGCGGGAGGCGGGACGGGGCTGGCGGCCAAGGAGGCGGCCACAATGCACTGAAGGCGGCCCTGGAGCTGGCTCTGGGCCCCGGCTTCCTGTGAAGCCGGGAATTACTGGGAAGCTGCTGGGCAGGGAACAGGGACAGCGGGGAACAGGGACGGCGGGGGTGGGGACGTGGGTCACGGCCCGCTGGGCCCCAGGGACGCTGGGTGGAGATACCAGCCCCAGTGCCAGCATCCCACGACCTGCCATCACCCCACGGCCTTCCAGGGGGGACATGGCGGTCAGCAAGGCAGGCCAGGCAAGTGCCGGCACTCATCGTGCCTGGCCGCCAGGTGGCTGGGCAGGAAGCCAGCGGGCCTCCCCAGTTCCCAGCCAGACACTAGAGACTCTGGAAGCGCCTCGTCCTCCTAGAGGAAGTGGCAAGTGGCGGGCCTCCCWGGCCTGGGCTCTGGCCACCTCGGGCTGCTGGCAGAGCTGGGGCTGTCTCAGAGCCGTCTCTTCCGGGTATGGAGTCCTTTGTAGCCCACCCCCTGTGTGGGGACCATCCTGCCCCACTCCCTTCCAGGAATCACTCATGGGAAAACCTCCTAGGCCGTCTGTCCCCGCCCCCGGCCCCCCGAGCGTGCTGAAGAGACCCCGGGGGCAGCCGAGCCTGAGCCCACAGGTGCTGCCGTCTACAGACAACCGGCACAGGGCCAGAGGGTCCCCGAATCCCCGCATCTGCCCTGGACGGTGCTCATCCTCACCCTCACTCTCTGAGCAACAGGCACCCAGGACGACGCACTCAGAGTCACTGGGAGGGGTCGGGAGATGCACAGGTCCCCTCACACCCCTCCTATGGGCCCAGGGGGGCTGGAGCCGCAGAGCTGGTATCTGAGGGGTGGTGGAACCCATCCCAGGGTGCCAGGGCGACCAYGTTGCCACCCCATTTATAGATGAGGAAGCAGGGACTCTGCGGGGGCAGCCTGCTCCAGGCCACACAGCGGGGACAGCAAACCCTGTGCCCTCTTCCAGATCCTCAAAGGGCCCCGAGCGCTGCCATGAGCTCTGCAAGTGAGGCCTCCAAGTGACCCGCACTCTGCGGAGGACCCCGTGGCCGCTGCTCCTGACGGAGGAGCCAGGCTGCAGACCCCGGCCCCACACGGCCAGCTTCTGAACTAACAGGTGGGTGATGTCTCCAGGAGAGTAAAGCCACCGCAAGAACCCACAACCAGCGCCAGGGACACCCAGCCTCTGGCTGTGCCCGGCCACCTCCCCGTCTAAGGTACTAAGAGACGTTCAACACGGGGTCTGACCTGATAGGAGGACGCTCCAGCCACCTGAGACCTGGAGTGGGCCCTGACAGTGAGGCCCCTGCACACTGCTGCCCCGCCCTCTGCCTGGGTGGGTTTCAGCCGTTCTCTTTTTGGTGCCAGGGACTGAACCCTGAGCGCTCTACTACTGAGCCCCATTCCGGCCCTTTACACGGTGGAGACAGGGTCTTGCTAAGTTGCTGAGGCCGGCCTCCAGTTTGCAACCCTCCTGCCTCAGCCTCCCACACCGTGCTGAGCCACCGCGCCTGGCAATCCGGTATATTTCTAAACGAGGCTCTCCACCCAAGACCCTCTGGGACTGCACTACGCTGTTTCTGCGTCCTGGCGTCTGCACCAGCTGACCGGTCTCCACCACGCCACAGCCCAGGCTGGCCCGCAGGTGGACTCACTTCTCCCGGAAGGTCTCCTTCTCCTGCTCGCTCCACATGTTCATGACCTGGCGGTCCCGGTACACCTTCATGGGGTCGTCCATGAGCCCGTTCATGTTGATGAACCGGATGCGCTGCTGGTCAGCGTCGTACAGCATGGGCGGGATCACAGCCAGCTGCCGCATCTGCTTCTCCAGGTTCTGGGGCAACAGGACAGAGGGCTGGGTCAGAGGGCACAGAGGGCAGGGTGGGGGACGGCGAGATGTGGGGGTGTGAGATCCCAGAGAGCAAGGGAAAGGTGAGCAGCAGGCAGCAGCGGCCAGCCCTGGGGAGGCGGGCACCCCCGACACCGCAGGAGAGCTCTGCCCTCGGGGTCCTCTGTGGGGAAAGGGGCGCCTTCCGTGGGGCTAGGCAGGCAGCCAGGCAGTGGGGCTAGGATCCAGCTGCCCAGGGCACGTGGACATTGGCACAGAAGGGATGGGGATGACCAAGGGGCTCTGAGCTGCACACGGGACCTCACTTCCCTGCAGCCCCGTGGCCAGTCTGCCCTGGACATGAGCTGCCCAGAGGGCCCCACCTCCCACATCCGACCTCCCCCTCGAAGCTCAAGGCTTTTGGCCAAGAAGCAAAGCAGGAGACGCAGATCCCATCTGGCCAGGAGAAGAGCCCACAGAGGCAAAGCAGTCAGCACATGGCCTGCAACCAGCCTCACTGCCCGAGACGAGGGCAGCACAGGAGTGGACGGGGGACCCTCCCCGAAGGGTCCCTCCTGCTCCTGGGCTGCCTTCCCGAGAGTTCMTAGCAGGGACTATGCTCTGGCCACCTAGAGCTGAGGGGGACGGTCAGGGTCCAGCCTCTTACAGACCCTCCTTCACCTGGGGACAGCCGGGAGCCCTCCTGTCCCACCTTCCCCTTCCCACGTCCCTGCCTGTGCAGGCCCAGCAGCCGCAGCCTCATGCGGTGGGACCTGGGGCTCTGGGCTGGGGGTGGGGTCTGCAGGACAGCAGGCAGGAAGGAAGGAGCCAGCCGCGGCCCCCGGCAGGCCAGGGCAAGGCCTCGGGCCGCGGGCAGTGGCTTTCTGGTTCTGCTTTCTGCAGGCCGCGTGTGCCTGGAGCTGACGGGCCAGGCGGCCTGCCACCTCATTCCACCTCGTCAGGCACAGGGCAGGTTGGTGGGGGGTGGGGCAAGTCCTGGGCTCTGCCCGACTCCCCGAATCCGCATGGGGCCAGGGCCCGCTCCCACCTAGCCAGAGCCCGCTCCTGGGCCACCTGGGTCCCATGGGCCTGAGACTGGCACCAGGGCGCAGCACTGCCCAGGACGTCCTGCAGGAAGAGGTGTGGTCTCGGTGCTGCCCAGCAGCAGGCCACACCCTCCAGGGCTGCAGGCCACCTCGCTGGGCCTGGTATGGCCGAGAAATCGAGTCTTCAACCGTATTTCACTTAAATTAACGTCACTTAAAGAGCCACGGTGACCAAACAGGAACACCGAGGGCCGCCCACCTGAAAAGACCACAGCAGGGGCCAGTGCCCCTCTGCGCCTGGCCTCATCCCACCACAGTGTGGGCACAGGGACACGAGTGCTGGGCTAGACCCCAGAGGCCCAGACCCGGGAGGAGACACCAGGAACTATAGGACACACACCCCCACCTCCTGGCTGGCCATCCCCGGGCCCAGTGACTATGGTCAGGGCCACCGCAGCTGGCCTCCAGGCGTCCAGTCCGAGGGGAAACCTGGAGCCGGAGGCTGGGGCTGGGAGGGGCCCGGCTGCACTCTCGAGTGTCCTATCTGACCTGGCCCCTCCAGGCCATCAGGATCAGGGCCTACTGCTCAGGGGCTTCCGCCCACTGGCTGTTGGGGCTCAGCCCAGGGGGTGCCTCGAAGGGCCAGAGGGGCAGAGCCAGGGGCAGGCCCCACCCCAGCTGCCTGCCTCTAGGCTTCAGGGCATTTGGTCAGTGCCCAGCCCCAGCCTCCCTCCCACCCCACAGGCCTGGAGCAGGTCCTGGCTGCCCAGCACTGCTAGTCCAGGGCCTCCAGGCCCCACATCATTCTGCCCCTCACCATCCAGGGTGAGCCCGCTTCTGACGGGGACCCTCCACTGCAGCAGGGGACCCAGGGGAAGGGACGCTGAGGCCGAGCCAGGTCTGGGACTCACCTCTTGCTCTGAGAGGCCATCGATGATCTCAGACACCTCATGCTCACTGCGGGCCGCCGACATGGAGAGCCCGCCGCCCCGCTGGCCCACCCTGCTGGGGGCCAGAGGGACAAAGTCAGGACCACCCCCTTGCCAGCTGGGACACCAGGCTGCACCCCAGGGGCAGGCCTGAGCCCACCACGTCCCCACAGGGCGAGGTCACGTGGGGAGGAGGCAGCAGAGGGACAGACCTCCAGATGCACAGCTGGCCCAGGGGTGGCCTGGGGAAGGCCCAGGGTGGCGTGGTGGCAGGGTGGCCCGGGGGAGACCCGGAGTGGCAGGGGAGGCCTGAGGGAAGCCCAGGGTGGCCTGGGGTGGCGGGGACGGGGGGGGGGGGGNGGGGGGGGGGGGGGCAGCGCTCACCTCTGCATGCGCTCCTGCAGCTCGCGCTGCTTGCGGATCTCGGGGAACTGCTTCTCGTAGTACTCGCGCACCTTGCTCTCCTTGGCCCGCCGCCGGGGGTTGCTCTCGATGCGCTCCACCTTCTTCTCCCAGGCCTCCATGAGCTGGTCATAGCGCTGGCAGAACTTCTGCTCCTGGGGCAGAAGGCGGGCGCTGAGGGGCAGCCGGCCTCGGCCTCCCCCATGGAGCCCTCCAGGCGCCCGCCAGGCAGAGACCACCGCCCCTCCCCCAGCAATAGCCACCCAGCTCAGCCTCCTGGGGAGGCCTCACCCGCCCAAAGCCAGCAGCCCGGAGCCTCTGCTGCGCCAAGTCACCAAACCAAATTCCAGGTTCTGACCCTCGCCCGGGGCCACTGATCCAGGGCTCAGCAGACACAGGGCTGGGGTCACTCAATAGCACCTGCTCCAAGCTCTGCAGGACGGTGTGGCTCAGGGGTGTCTGTGTGGCCAGTGGGCCACACCTGGGCAGGACCCTGTCCCCAGGCCCCAGGCCCAGCCCAGCTCCCCAGTGTCAAGAGCTCCTGAGGAAGAGGCTCCGCCCTCCACAGGGGAAGTCCTTCTCTCCATCAGCCTGGCCTCTGCCCCTCCAAGGTGACGGCGGGCAGCAGCCAGCCACAGGGCAGACCCCGGCCACCACCTCTTACCCACAGGGCCGGACCTGATGCCCATCCTCACGCCTAGTCGCTCTGCCTGTCCCTGCAGCTTCTGACCAAGGGCAGCCTGTGGCCACACCCAGCCCTGACCAGCCAACAGCAGTGGACCCAAGGGTGGTAGGTGGCATCCGGGTGCAGAGCTAGGCCCCACAAGTGTGATCCACTCCGAGAACCCCCAGAAACCACRTTGGCTCAGGGACACCAGGCCCACAATGGTAGTGGCAGTGCCTCCCAGCTCCCCACTAGGGACAGGGACCAGCCCAGGCCACCTCAACCCTTGCCAAAGGCTGCAGCATGCCAGAGAGGGAGGAGGCGAGCAGAGCTCACCAGAAAACCAGGACAGGAGGACGGGGGGACAGCAGGGGTCAACAGGGCCGCAGCCAGGCAGCAGCCAGGGCCTGGGCCTCCCCCAGGCCCCCTGCCAGGACAGACAGGGTTCCAACAGGACCTCTGGCGCTGTGGACCTCAGTGGACACCACAGGAATGTCCCTGAGGAGATACCAGCCACACTCCACAACCCCAGACACCAGCACCAAGGCCCAAGCCACTCGCAAGGAGGAAGCTCCACCGCCTGCCCAGGACAGGGAAGTGCCCCTCCACATCTAACCACAGAGCTGCCCGTCGGAGCTTACACGCCACGGGTGTGCTCAGGCCTGAGGAAGCGGCTCAGGGGCACTGGGGCGGGGTTGCAAGCCAGGGCAGGAGGCAGAGCTCGCACATACAGTCATACACGCACATACATAAGCTCACACCCATGCACTCACACACATGTTCACAAAGGCACTCATACACATGTACGTGTTCACACATGCTCACGCATGGTCATACATGCACGCTCACACACACATGTTCACACGTGTTCATACCCACGCTCACATGCATGCTCTCACACACGMACATGCCACCCACACACACAAACATGCGCATAGGGCTGGGCCAGGCCAGGGTCTCCTGAAAGCATGGGGAGCCAAGGGCACCTACGTCCCTGAAAGAAACGCCCCTACTCCTGGGAAAGGAAGGCCCAGGCCTGTGGGGTGCACTCCCCTGGGGCCTGAGCCCTCCCCCCACCACGGGGCGGGGAGAGCAGGTGTGCCCGCAGAGGGCCAGGTGCTCTGGGATGGTGACACGAGAGCCACTCTAAAGGCTCAGGGCTTTCTGTTAAGATGGACTCAGCCTGGCTGCAAAGCACCCCATGTCCTTGCCAGGTGCCCAGTCCTGCCAGCCTCTCTCCATCTGTAAATACCCAAGGAGCCACCACGGGGGGTCTGAGGACCCAAACCCACTAAGGCCACCTCCCTGGGCTCCGTCCCACAGCCACAGGGCCACAGAGACTCTCTGGGTGGCACACCACACCCCTGCAGCAGCGGACCTCCACCCAACGGAGACGCTGGGGACATGAGGGGGGGGGGCCAGACAGAAAGTCAGGCCAGACTACAAATGACCTTCAGCACGGTGGGGGGCAGGTCCTGGCCTCTGAGGCCCTCTGACCCGCCTGCTCCGGCATACACTCGGCACACACTGGGCACACGGGGCCTGCGGCCACGCCCCAGGAGTGGGGCCCCTGCGCTCTTGCGCCAACTGTCTGGCATGACGGGGAAGCCCTGCAGCGAGCACTGAATCCCCTAAGAATGCACGAGGCTGCCCCTGGTGCACAGAGTGAACCTAGTGCTCCTCTGCAGGCCAGGTCCCGGGGACCTCAGCTGACGCACAGGCCGCTGCCTCCCAGGCACAGCCCTGGCCGGCTGCACTCTGCCCTGCACTGACAGGGCTGGTCCCCACGCAGGGCCTTTGCACGCTGCTGTGACCCCAGGTCAGCACCTCGGCCTGGGGGCAGGCCTCACCACACCCCACTCACGGCTCCTGGGGTGTCCTCCCACCAGGTCACGCCCACCAGCCTGTGTCTCTCCCTTGAAGCCCTGGACGCCTCGCCTGGCGCCAGCTCCAAACCCCAGGCCCCAGGGAGGATCAGGCTGGACTCGGTCCAGGCCCCAGCTGCTCAGGGTGGCCTGGCTGTGCCTCGGTCTCCCTTCTGGAACTCAGGCCAAGACAGCGCTCACCTCTCAGAACGGAACACGGTGCACACAGGGACATGGGAGTGTGGCAACACAGAAGACGGTGCCATGGGGTCCTGAGCTGTCTCTGCATGTCACCAAGTCCCCACATCCTGGAAGACTTGCATACAGTGGTGCTCAATGATGGTAGCCAAAGACACCTGACCAGCACACCCCTGACTGCCTACCCCTCTCCACCCCATTTCAGTTCACGCAGCACACAGTTGTCACCTGCTGTATGCCACTTACACTGGGCGTGACTCAGCCCTGCAGGTAGGCAGAGGGCCTGGGTCCTACAGGCATCCAACAGAGCCCAGGGGGGCTGGGGTGCAGGCGAAAGCAGCCCCACCCACCAAGCCCAGACTGTGCCCCTTCCCCACCCGGAGGCCAGGCTGCCTGTCCCCATGGGTGGGTGTCCTCAGGGCCACCCTAAGCCTCATTCTCCTGCCAGCCTCCTCCTCCTGGCAGCTTGTGGCTTGGGTAGAGGTGGTGACATCATCTCCCCACCAATACCAGTCCTCGTAACCCAGCTCCTCAGCAGCGGTCAGTGCTCAGGGCACCCAGAGCTCAATGGACCCAGTCCTCAGCTGGCCTGGTCCCGAGCTCCTGTGAGAGTGAGGTGGGCCGAGAGAAGGGTGGCCAGCCTGTGGGTGTCCTGACCCACGGGCTGCAAGCCACTGCTGACACCAGGCCCTCCGCACATCCCGCGCACACCAGTCCCTTCCCTTCTCTGCCCACTGGTGGCCCCTCTCTCCCCTCCAGGGTCACTTAGCCTGGCCTCCAGACCCAGCAGGTCTCCTGATGGGGCCTGGCCACCCGCTGCCTGGGCAGGATGGAAGGGAGGTACAGGCTACCCGCTGTCCCCAGGGACTGCCCTCAGGGGCTGCCCCGTGGCCCTGGCTGCCCCTGGCTGTCCTCCCACTCCCTAGATTCTGGTCATGAGGCAGCTGCAGGGCCAGAGGGGCCGGCAGGTGTGGCGCGTGGCCTGCACTCTGAGGCCTGCCCGCTCACCCACTGCTTCCGCGCGTGGTTCCTCCGCTTGAAGTACAGGATCAGCTTCTTGCGCATCGCCTGGTTTCTGCAGGGAGAGGGCAGGGCCAGTGAGCACGGGGGCGGGGGGGGGGGGGTGGCGCAGCCCGGGTCCCACCCCAGCCCGGCTTGGGTCTGAGCAGCAGCCCAGGTGGGCCCCAGGCTGCATCTCAGTGAGGGGAGAGACCCCCGCCCAGCGCACCCCAACACTCAGCCCATCCTGTCCCCCACCAGGTGCCTGCACCATAAAGCTGAGTGCGGTCAGCAGAAAAAGGGCCTGTGACCTTCTCCCCCTCCTGAGCTGCTGTCACACACACACACACAGGTCCCCGTGGCCTGTCACCAAACCTGTCCACAGAAAATCTGCCAGAGAGACACCGACTGTCTCAGACCAGGAGCCAAGGCAGGGAGGCTGGGAGGCCYGGAGGCTGGGAGGCTGGGAGGTCCGCCTGCATAGGCAGGTCCCAGGCTAAGCCCCGGTGCCCGCGCTCCCAGGACTCTTGTCCTGTGCTCCAGGGTGGGCACAACATGGCACAGCAGGGCGGGCAGATGGGCAGGGACTTGGCCAGCRGGCCACACACCCTGCAGACAGGGAAGCAGGTCTCCCCATGGACGATGCAGAGGGGGACAAGAGGAGCAGGGCAAGGGAGGGCCGGAGAGGCCAGCCCAGAGGGGACAGAGGGGACAGGAGAGGCCTCCGGCCAGGCAGGTGCCAGGACAGACCTGTGGAGATGGGACAGAGAGAGAGGGAGACAGACAGGGGCAGACAGGAGGAGACAGCCAAGGCTCTGAAGAGGAGACCCAGGGTCGGAGGATAGGGGCGGCTCGCGCAGGGGGATGGCAATGTAGGCAAGTCCCCAGGAGTCCCGGGCAGGCCGGTGAGCTGGGCGGTGGCCCCTCCTGGAGGGTCCCCACTTCCCCTGTCTTCTCAACGCAAGTGGCCAGKCCCCATGCCCACAGCCACTTGCGGGTGCCTCGTGGTGGCTCAGGCCCCGCCTGACAAGGGGAAGGGGCCCAGGCACTCACCGGCCAGCGGGGCTCCACACAGGTTCACCTCCCAGTCACCCTGAGCCCACCTCAAGCCAACCCCCAGCATGGCCAGTGCCAGTCCTGGGGTGTCCTTGGGCACAAGGATGGGGACCCGAGCCCCGCCCCATGACAGTGTCTCTGAGCACATCTCAGAGGCTCCCAGAGCCTCATTCCTCATCTGAGAAACAAGACCAACGGCCTCGCGAGCTCATCCCCATCCACCAACTCTTCACGGACTCTGTGCCTAGCACTGCCCTCCACGAGGGGCCTCGTGGGCAAGGGCGGATGCAGCCCCAGGCCCACACAGAGGTGCCAGGAGAGGTGCTGGGCCCAGTGGGCAGGACGGTCAGGACGCCCAGGGCTTCCAGAACCGAACGGTGGCAGCTGGAGAGCACCCAGAGTGGGCAAGGAAGGCCACCCAGGGATGGCGCTGACCCGAGGGACCTGGCTGTGGAGCGGGCACTACAGATGCAAAGGTCCTACGGTGGGCACACACGGCCCCTGCAGAAAGGAGGAGGGAGATCCACAAGGCCAGAGGACGTCGGGGAAGGCAGCGGGGACGGAGGAGGAGCCACGGGCCAGGTTGGGGCTAGACAGCCAGCCGGGAAGGTGCAGAAGCAACTGGCAGCCCAGGGCCTTGGGAGAGTCGGGGTTTGAAGGGGCCCAACCATCAGGAGCCCCTGGGCTGCAGGAGGGGGCCTGTGGAAGGACCCCGGCTCCTGACCTCTCCCTTCGCTACACCCCAGTGGGGCAGCCAGGCTGCAGGACAGTAAGACAGGGCAGAGAAGGGACCGGCAGCCCTACAGACCCAGGGGACCCGGGGACCAAGGGACCAAGAACGGCGCCTGCCGGGGAAGGCTGGACGCGTGCGAGGTGAGCCCTGCCCAAGGCCAGGCAGAGGCCGAGGCCAGGCCCGCCCAGCACCACAGCTGCCTGTGCCCGGCCGGCCCTGCACCCCTCASGGGGTCTCCACTGCCTCCACAGGACACCAGTGCAGGTGGCCAGGACCATCCCAGCACATCCTGCCCAGGGCCGGGCCCACCCTGATGGGATGACCACCAAGGCCCCCTGTGTCCCAGGTCTCAGAGGTCTGGCGCCCACCCTGGTAGCAGGTGCCCACGGCCTGTGGAGAGCCACCCGACACCTCCGGGAAGGTGCAGGGGCGGGCAGCACTCAGGTGGCCTCGCCACATCCGACTGCCATGCAGCAGGAAGCCAAGCGTGAAACTGACTGGACTCCGTGGCCAGCGCACGGACACGGGGACATTATAGGGACAGAGGCCAGGCCCTGGGGAGGGACAACCGCCCACCCCCAAGCAACCCTGGCCGCGGGGGCATGGCGGGCAGTGCAGCAAGACTGGGAGGGGCTCGGGGCTCCCTCGGACCCCAGCTGGACGGTCTCACCGTCCTTGTCACGCCCGTTACGGGCCCTGTGCGTGTGGGCTCATGTCCATGTCCCCCACAGAGGGTCAGGCTCAGCCACCGACGTCTCCCCAGGGCCTAGAGGATGCCTGGCAGCAGGAGGGACCCAGGGACATTTGCTGGATGAAGGACCAGGAGTGTCTCCCGCCTCTGCAGGACACCAGCGGCCAGACCCACCTCCCTGTCCCACAGAGTGACCACATGCCACAGGACGCACTTGGGCCGCTGGGGCCTGAGACCCCGGCCCAGCCGGCGGCCCCCAGGGCTGCCCACACCCGGCACGCAACTGTCCCTGAAGCCACATGCTCCTGTCACAACAATTTGGCTGGCGAGACGTGCTGCAGACCTCAGGAGCCCAGTCCTGGAGCTTCCGCGCTGGCTGCTGGCCCGCAGGCCAAGCTGGACCCACAGGCCAGCCACAGGGCTCACCACCCCACCAGGCCGCGACTCCCCAGGGCTCCTCCTGCCATCAGGGCCCCGCTGCCCCGCACTTCTGCCCTGGCCTGGACACTGGGAGCCTGCAGCTCCCACGAGGCAGCCTGGGAGGCCCAGGCCCCAGGGCTCATCACAAAGCTCAGCCATGGCCCCCCAGCCACTACGGGCCAGGGTGGGGTGGGGGTCCTGTCCTCCACCCTGGACACATGTGGTCTTTCCTTCCAGAGCCTCTGGGCCACCTGGCCCAATCCCAGGCCTCTGGGAGAGCCCAGGCTGGGCAGCCCCACCCGCCCCTTCAGAGCTGGGCAGCCCCACCCAGCGGCACCCACCTGCACCCACCTCCAGCCCACACGCTGAGGGGAGGCCCAGCCAGGGCCACAGGAAATGGTCTGCGGAGGCGGCAGGCATGCGGGGCGCTGGCCAGGAGCGCAGGGCAGGTGGGCGGTGTGCGCTCTGAGACGGACGCAGGAAGCACACAGCTCAGCAGAGCCACTGTGCACTTGAGACCCATGACTGCGGACAGACCCCACCCAGTGCAGCTGGCGACAAGGACACACCTCGTCTGTCCCCGACGGGCCTCGCTGTCCCTCAGGCTCCAGCAATAGTCCACGCTCGGGCCGCACACACAGGTCTCCCTGACTCTGGCAGCAGAGTGCTCCTGGTCCCCAATACGCCTGTGCCACCCACCCTCCCTGGAGAGGTGGCTTTGCCCTTGCCAGTGTCCAGCCCTGACCTGGGCATTCCCTGGGCCTCCACACATCCCCCGTGGCTCCTGCAGGGGCTTTCCAAAATTCCCCTACACCCAGGTCCTTCCTCCCTGTGGCCATCAAAATGAAGTTGAAGACAAAAATCCAAGCAAAACGCTTCAGGGAATACAACGTGGGGCTGGCCTCTCAGCCCTTGGCCAGCCAGCTTGTGTGGCCCCAGGGCCTTTGCACTTCTGCCCCTGCTTAGAGGTTCCGTCTCTGGTGGTCAACACAGCCAGCTGCTGCTCAGCCCCCAGGGTCCCAACTGTCCTGCCTGACTTCTCCAGCAAAGTGGCCCTGCCCACTCCTGCCACAGTCTTCTACCTTCTTACAATTCTGTTTAAACTGAATGACCGCACTGACCTCATGACGACTCACTGAAACTGGACACCAACGACACTCTTGGTGGAAAACATGAAAAACCCCGAGGTCCTGAGGCCAAGGTCAGTCACTCACCTACTCAGAGGCACCCACGCCGCGGCCTCAGGGAGACCCGAGCCACTGTGAGGCCGAGCCTCGTCCACTCTCCTTGAGCAAAGACCAGTGGGCCTGGTGACATTGTCTGGGGCACTGGGCTCCTTTGGGTTTGGATTCCACAGCTGCTCTCACAACCTGTGGTCACCCACGTGATTCCACCTAAAACGTCACTCACTTTAAGTGACAAAAATTGCGTCAATGCTTTGCCTTAACATTATTGCTATCAAAAATCACGTCAGAGGGGAAACGAGGCCAGGGACGGGACTCAGGCAGAGCGCGTGCCCAGCAAGGGTGACAGCTGGTTCCCACCAGGGCATCAGGGCAGAGGCTGCAGGGGCACGGCCTGTGTGCTGTCCGCTGAGTCTCTGAGGCCCACAGGACCGGCTGGGAGAGCGAGTGCCCCCGGCCTCCCCTACCTCCCCGGCCTCCCCACCTCCCTGGCCTCCCCGTGTCCCCGGCCTCCCCACTCCCTCTCCAGGGCACCAGCAGGCAGGGCCCAGGAGGCTGCTCAAAATCTGGACAGTGGTGGGGGACACTGTGGAGGCCAGGCAGTCCCCACCCCCCGAGGGACGTGGTGTGCGCTGCCTCACTGGCCACCTCCCGACACGGGGCAAGGCGCCAGAGACTCCCTTGTCCGCTGCTGCCGGAGCCCCACTGACTGGGAAGGGGAGGCTCCCGGCGGCTCTGGTCCCTGCAGGCTGTAGCAGGGTGGACAGCGGGTGACACCATCAGTCCCACTGGCAGTCGAACTACAAGAGGCCCCACGTCAACAGGCCCAGCACTGGTGGACGCTCCAAGCCATCAGGTGTACACCTCGGCGCTTGGTAGCTCGGCACCTGGCAGCTCGGCCCCCGCGCCTCCCCGCAGACGAGTGACACCTCCCTGGGCCACCCGACCCGAACCTCCTGAGGCCACACGTGAACATCATGCGTCCCCTCAGAGATGAACTCTGCAAGTCCCAAAACACTGCAACCCCAGAGACGCGGCCAACCTACCCCCCCACCACTCCCACAGCCACCTGCGCCTCAAACTTGTACTGTATAGGTTCCTGGTGACAGAAGGAGGAAACGGCTCCTCCGTGGCCCAGGAGGCCGTGCTCCCATTAATGCAACCCAAGACCCAGACAGCCTCCTGCACCATGGCTCCCAGGCCGCGCTCTGGCTTGGAGACATCAGCCTCCCGCATAGTCCAGGCCCTGGCCATGTCCAATTTGTGACAGCTGGGAGAAGGCCCTGTCCTGGGAGCCCAACAGGCCTGTGCCCTGGCCACCCCCGCCTGCGGACCCGCCCAGGTCTGCAGGCCACCGACCTCCCACACCCACATCTGCTGAGCCTCCCCCGGACCCACCCAGCCCAGAGCTCTGGCCCCATCTGCCTCCTGTCCACCTCCCCAGCCCACGGTCCTGCAGTGACCCCAGCAGGAGCGAGGCCCTGCCCGGCAGACACTCACATCTTGATGTTCTCGTGGTACTGCCGGGTGTCCGAGGGCTGGTTGTACAGCGGCTGCAAGGAGAGAGCAGAGTCAGCCCCGGGCAGCCCTGTCCACAGGGCCCAGGGCCCCGGGGTGAGGAACAGCTGTCCACAGGCCCGATGGAAACATGGGGACCCGGCCTTGGCCCGGCCAGGAACAGACCGTGACCGGCTCCTCTGGGCCCGGTGACCCCCACCCACAGGCTGATGGCTGCTCGGGAGGGGCCAGGGCCCCAGGGAAAGCCACACACCCTGAGGTGCCAGGGCCAGCCACGGCCACCGAGCAGGGGGACGCCCAGCTCCCCGGTCACCGCAGAGACCCAAGGCCCCTCCACCAGGAGCCTCCCCTTCCAAGGTGTGCGGGGCCACAACGAGGGTAGTGCCCGGCGGCCAGGATGTGGGCCAAGGGCAAGGCTCAGGCGATGGCCGCATGGGCTCGCTGCCCAGAAAGGCGAGGACCCTGCTGCTGCCCGGGCTCCCGGAGTGCTCCCACCACGAGCCTCGAGGAGCTGGGTGGCCCACGGCCCCTCAGAGCACCGAGCTGGACGAGCCAGGCACCGACACTCAGGGACGGCAGGACACGGGACGCGAGACCAGCCAGAGCGCCAGGCAGGYGGCAGGGCTGAGCTGCTGCCCTGCGACCCCAGCGGTGTCTGCAGATGGGGCAGAGGAGGGAGGAGGGAGGCGAGCCCTGGGGGCGGGTCCCTTGTCCCATGGCTGCCATCTGCTTCACAGGTAGAATGGGGCTCAAGGCCAGGGTGGCAGTGAAGGTCAAGTAAGGCACTGTCCCGGGCTCTGAGGCTAGCATGTGGCCACTGCCAGGCCTGAGGAGCAGCAGTGTCACCGTCCATGTCGGGATAGACTGTGTGAATCGCACCAGTGTCCCGTGCGTCCCCAGCCCCTGCCCTGCAGTGGCCAGTGGGACAGAGTGGACAGCAGGAGAAACCAAGCGGGCATGGCCACCCCATCCATAGCACAGGCCGCTGGTCAGCTGGAGGGGGACGAGCAGAGCGTCGGGGGCCAAGCCAAAGACCAGCCGTCTCCTGCTGACCGGGGAGGGAGACAGACCCTCGTTGGCACCAGGTGGCCTCTGCGCTGGAGGGACAGCAAGTGGCTGCGGCGAGGCGACGCCAACCTGGGCTGCTCTGTCCTCCGGCATGGCTCAGGGCACCCAGAGGGGACGGAGCCTGACCAGACCCGCGCCCCTCCAGTCTGTCCCTGTCCGTCCCTCCCGCACACAGCAGGGCCCTCCAAGGGCTTCCACAGATGACGCTCCCCTAGGGGCGACCCTGCCCTTCTGGAGCAGAGGGACAAGGTCAGTGTGAGAGGGCAGGCAGGTCAGATGGTAGAAGGAGACGTGGGGTCTTGGGGCCTCAGGGCAGGGGACAGGGCACACAGGTCCCCAAGGGAGCTGTCCCTGGGGAGGGGCTGAACACTCTCTGGGACACTAACTGTCCGACAACCCCGGAGCCCAGGCAGCAGGACCACAGTCCCCTCCTCCCCACCCCAGGGCCAGGCCTCCTGCTGCCCACAGACACAGATGGACAGGACGGCGTCAAGGGAGGGGCCTGTACACCCTGGGCAGTGGCCACTGCCCCTGCCTGTCCCCATGGCAATCCACCACCACACTCTGGCAGTCCCAGGCCTAGCCACTCCCTGGGGACAGAGGGGGCACCCTGCAACTACAAGGCCATCTCCCCATGGCACATAGCTCAAGACCAAGAGGTCCCAGCCCAACCCTGCAGTTTTGAATGGGAGGGCAAAAGAACAGGGCAGTAGAGTCTGTGGTCAGACATACTGCAGAACTTCCTAGTAGAGAGAAGGGGTGAGACACTCCTACAGAAGGCTGAGGATCCTCATCTCAGGAACGCAAGGGGACATATAAAGAAGCTCACGCTGGAACCTAAGTGGCCCTGTGTTGGTCCTTCTGTTCTCCACACATGAATGACGCACAGGCCAGCTGAAGGGGACCAGCAGCTCAGGCTGGGAACAGTTGGGTTCAGATTTGAATCCCGCTCCCACGTCCCCAGCTCACACAGTGACACAGACGAGGGCCTTCCACGCTGGGCCTGTCTCCTCCTTGGGAGGTTGGACAGGGGCACAGGGCACTCCTGACAGGGACGTTCTGACCGTGGGGTGGTGGTCCTCGGCTGGAGGGGCCAGGAGGGCAGCGGGGCCCAAGGTGCAGGCCCACAGGAGGGCAGCAGGGTGACAGGCAGCCTCGCCTGGAGAGGGGACAGGTGGTCTGACCCTCGGGGCCCTGTGACTCACAGAACCCCATCTTCCCTGAGTCGAACAAGGGCCAGGGGACCTCAGGAGCAGCCTCTTCACCTCACCAACAGGGACAGGAGGGACAGGAAGGACGAGGCCTCGGGAGAGCAGGGCCAGTGCACACCCCAGCACCCTCACCCTCAGTAGAGCATATGACCTCTGGCCAAGGCCCTTGTCCTGTCAGGGCCACTGGCAGCACGTCCCCACAGCCCCAGGGAAGTCAAGGGGACAGTCCCCAGAGGCCCACCGGCTTCTCTGCAGATGGGGCAGAGGAGGGCAGGAAGGAGGAGGCCCTGGGCAGAAGGAGGCGTCCAGAGGGTCTTGAGAGGAAAGCTGGCCCCACTCAGGTCAGGTAGGAAGGGCCAGCCCCGCCCACAAGCCTGGCAACACCAGGTTCTTACAATGACACCTCCGAGCACAGAGAGAGCAGGCCGGCCATGCTGCCCCTCGCTGCCCGGCCCCCCCGCCCTCCACAGGGCCCCCAGTGCCCACTGGGCACACCGGGCACCAGGCACCGGGCCCCAGAGCCCCAGGCACTACCTCCAGGTCTCCTTCCCCCAGGGCTCGCTCTCTTCCCTGAACCAGTACCTGCTCCAGAGGCCACAGGCCACCTGGCACCAGGCACAGCCACAGAGCCCCACAGGGCACAGGCGGGACGTGCCCACGGCCCCGCGGCACCCCACGGTCGGGGGAAGAGCTGGGTCCCAGGGCTGTGGCCCCTGGAGGGCGGCAGGCTAGCGCGCCCAGGCTTCCGGCACGAAGTGGGCACTGTGCCCTGCGGGGCACCCACCCACCTTGCCTGGAGATACCCCGGGCAAGGCAAGGACAGGCAGAGCACAGCCCGTGCAGGCCCCCGGGCATCTCCCAGCCTCACCTCCTTCTGTGCCACCCAGGAAAGGCCAACCCAGGAAACGGGATCAGGGACGATCCACAGGCCCTGACACACAGTGGGTGCCCTGTCCCCAGAGGCCAACACAGGGCCCACTGTTCCCAAAGGGACTCAGGCAAACAACCTGGCTGTGCAGCAGCTCAGGGAGCCTATGCCTGGCCTCAGCCAGGGCCAGCCGGGCTCCTGGAGAAGCTGCGCTCCCAGCACTACCCACTCAGAGCTCGGGGACCAGCGACGTCCCCAACAGCCATGCAGACCCGTCCCTGGGTCTTCACCGTGTGCCCGACATCACAGAGGGACGGCCCAGGAGCCCTGGAGACTCGGCAGGAGAGAAGGCGAGTCTGGTGTCAGAAGTGACCACAGTGGCCATCTGGGACACCAAGGTGAGGTGCAGCTCCCAGGCGAGATTGCAGACAGAGCAGCCGGCCGAGGCCAGGGGCTTCCTGGGGATGGTCAGCTGCACCCAAGCCGAGAACGGGCAGACATGACCCTGGACAGCTGCCCAGGGCAGCTCCGTGCACAGTGGCCAGAGAGCAAGACCTGCTCCAAACGCCAGGCGAGATCCAGGTATGGGGGCCCAGGGCAGTGGCCCAGCCCCAAGGCACAGAGGCACGGGAAGAGGGACAGGGCTGGGCCAAGGCCACACAGGGCTGTACTATGGGGCATGGACACACAGAGCCGCGCACAGAGGGCGACCCTTCCACGTGGAGGACGTCCACATGGGGACTGACTGGTGGCAGTGCACACTCCTGGGGGCACACCAGAGACCTGGGCGCAGGTGTCCTGTCCTCACCTGTGAGTGGCCTGTGGCTGTGTGCCCAGTAGTAGGAGCAGGGTCCCAGCTCTGGGGATGGGCAGCCCTCACCGCATGACACGGACCACCCGTAAGAAACCAGGTGCACAGCTGATCTCTGCCCCCTCCATGGCGCAGGCTCGTGAAGGCCAAGGTTGTACTCAGAGCCCTCCCGGGCCTCAGCGCTGGACCCTGGGTCCCACCCCTGACCTAGGCCACCCCAGCCCTGTGGTGCAGAGGAGCCTGCACCAGGAAGGGCCAGACCTCGCTATGCCCAGGAGACCCCGACGGGCTCACTCCCGCCCTGGCACAGAGCCCCCCAGCTACCCCTGCACGTGGGACCCACGGTGTCCCCACCCCCGCCACCGCCACCGCCGGGTCCCACCAACGGCCCCAGGGAACCCAACGGGTGGAGCCAAAGGGTGGAGGCAGCGGGCGCCGGGGCTCCCCCAGGGCTAGCCTTCTGCTCTCAGCCACCCCAAGCCCAGGAGACCCAGGTCTGCACCTGCCCGGCAGCAACGTGAGCCTGACCCTGGGAACAGCAGCAGCAGCAGCAGCGAACGCCCCTCATGCCACCTGCGTGCCACCCCGGGTGGGTCCACGCCACAGTGCCCAGGTGGGCAGCCACCCTCAGGGTGCCCAGGGGTCGGTGAAGAGACTGAAGCACAGACAGGGTGAGGCGCCGGCCACAGCCACAGCCATCGAGGGCAGCCTGGGAGCTGAGCCCAGACCTCGCGCCCAGAGAGGAATCTCGATGCTCGGCCGGAAGCAGGGGCCACTCGAGCCCAGAGGAAGCCCAGCTCGCTCACTGCCCGCACTATCTGCCGGCCTCTTATCAGGAGGGCGCTTCCTGCCCCCCTGACGAAAGCCCGCTGCCCACTGCCCGGGCCGACTTCCTCCTGCCCCAGCCCTGCCACCCGCCCGGCCCGCTCACCAGCTCCACCTGGGGTCCCAAGCCTTCGAGGATCCGGTGGGCAGCCTCGGCCTTCTTCTGCAGGGACGGAAAGGGGTCGGGGGAGACAGAAGAAACTGTGAGCGAGGCCTCCGGGGCAGGCAGCGCCCCTCCCCGCACGCTGGCCCACAGCCTGGGGAGGGACCGGGACCAAAGCCCCAGGCTGCGACAGCAGCGCCCGCAAGCCCACCTGGCCTGGGCCTGAAGCCCCCGCTGCATGCCCACCCACCACCCCTCCCGGGCGGTGGCACCAGTGCGGGTCCTTCCAGCCTCTGCCCGGGGAGCTGGCCAGGCCCCCCTCTAAGAGTCCAGGGCCTTGGTCACGCGACTCCTGGACCTCCCGCCTCCCTCCGTCACAACCCAGGACTTATGGGGAAATGGGGACACACGGCAGAGAGGGCTCTGGATGCTGATTCAACAGGCTGGCCATGAAGGCCACACTGTGCCCAGGTCTGGCCACCAGCCCCAGCCTGGGACCACAGTCCTGCTCACAGGAGGCCCAGAGCACGGTCAGCCTGGACAGGGAGGCTGGAGGAGGGCGGGCAGGGGACCCAGGGAGGCAGCCTCCCAGGCCGTGGGGGACGGCTGGGGCAGCACTTGTTCAGCACTCTGGACAACAGGTTTGGGAAGACAGCCAGCAGCCCCGAGACAGACCCCAAGCAGCAGACATCAGGTCACACACATGAGGACCAGGGGTGTCCCACCCCGTGACTGGGCCAGCCCTGGGAGCATCCAGGTTCAGCATGGGCCAGGAGCACTGGCCACCTGAGCCAGTCAACACACTGTCCCTGAAAACGACAGGTGACGTGGAGCTCCGGGGGACACTGCTGGGAGGCTAGGCCTGGGGCAGATGCACATCAGCAGGGCAGTGGGCCTGCAGGTGGCCTCAAGCTGGCATCTAGAATGACATGTCTTGAACCCAGGCCAGCCCAGCAGGGCCCACGGGAAGCCCGAGCCCCAAGAGAAGCAAGCAGCCTCCGCAGGCCAAGGCCCGAAGGCAGGGACGGCCTGGGAGGTGACCACGTCCTGCTGAGCCTCCCAGGGGCCGCCTGGGCGTGGGTCGAATCCCGCCACTGAGAACACCCAGCCAGGCCCAGAAATGCCACCGCGCCATCGGCGGAACGGGAAACACGCCGGAGGCGGAAGGAAGAGGCCTCGCCACTGTCTGGGCAGGGCARCCATGGCCTGGGGAGGCCCTGGGTCTGGGAGGCAGGGACCACCCTGAGGGCCCCTGCAGGCCACCTGCCCTGGAAACACCCTGGAGATGCGAGATGCACAGAACCCGCGGCCAGGACGAGAAAGGCTGACCAGGGCGGGCGGGCAGCAGGGACAGGGCAGGCCAGTGCACTCAGGCACCAGAGGCTCAGGGGTCAGTGCCACCAGGCCTGTGGGGTCTGTGCTCACCCTCTGGACAAAAGGGATGCCCAGCACACGGCCAGGCTTGCGCCTTAGGGCGCATACAGAACCCGGCGACTCGAGAAGCCTGCGTCCTGTGAGCCACACTGCCCCGGGCTCTGAACACCATAGCTTTTGCAAGGGACAAAGTGACATGAGCACCGTCACTTCCCTCCTTAGACGAGGGAAGGCACCCTAGTCCCAGAACGGGACACCCCTGGGAACAAGGGTCCAGGCCACTGTTACAGCCTGTTCCCAAAATGGCACCGGCTCCTGCAGCTTCCTGCCGACCTGAGTACGGCCTGCCCGGCGCCCGCAGGGCCAGCGCCCCTCCGCTCTTGCCCTGTCCGTGCCTCCGCCCCGCTGGCCCTGCACCATCTTGCTCCTGCAGACGGCATGCAGCTCCCTGTAGGGGCCCCTTGTTAGGCCCTGTGGTGGGGCTGTGGGACAACCTGCTCTCCCCCTGCTGTCTCAGCACCTGGCACAGGGGCGCTGGGGACAGGGCACCTGGCGCAGGGGCCCGGGCTCTGGGGCACCCTCACTGCTGAAAGGGGCTTCTGGCTCCCAGCCCTAGAGCCCCACCCTTGCCCCGAGGGGCCCAAGCGCAGGACCCCCCACCAGGGAGGAGGGGAAGCCTGCTGCCTCCCAGCCCTGGCCTGGACAGGGACATGGCGGCCCCTGTACCCCGGGAGGAGGGCAGCACAGCCCCTCTGCCTGCTCTCTGGGCCACACCGGCTGCTGCGACTGGACCAGGCCTCTCCAGAGCAGGTCAGGCTGCAGCTGCTGCCACCTTAGGAGGGGGCACCAAGGCCCGGGGGCACCTGGGGAGGAGAGGTCCAGCCCCCGTTCACCCGAGCAGCCCTGTGCGGCTCAGTGACTCACATTTGCAGCCCGTCTGCCCCTGCACAGTCCCCCGGCCTCTCAAATGCTGGTCCTGGCACAGTCAGCACTCAACACCAGCCCTGCTCGCGGGGTGCCAGGATGTGCTAGTCAGAGCTGACCAACCCCCTACCCCTGTGAGTCAGGACAGGGTGCTCCTGGGCGTCACAGACCCCCACAGGCCACATGGACACACTCACGAGTCCAACCCCATAGTGCGTAGCCCGGTCCCTTGGGATCCCCAGGTGCAGCCCTGGCCTGAGGCAGAGTCCCCCTGGCTGAGCGGGCGGGCTGTCCACCAGCCTTCGTCCTCACCCTGGGATAGCCCAGCCATGTGGCCTGCCTGGATCAGGCCAGCTCCCTTTCGCCGCGCCCTCCAGGGAGGCCTCTGCTGCCGACCCCAGCCTCCCCTTGGACTCCCTGCGGACCTACCCCTGAGAGCACCAAGCTGCGGAGAGCCTGGCCCTGCGCCTGCACCCGCCAGCCCCATCCCACCTCCAGGCCCCACCCGGGGCTGCACCCACGCTGGGGCCCAATGCCCTCCTCCTAGCCCACCCACTGCCCAGCTTCCCTGCCCACACCATGCTGCCCACACCAGCCAGGCTCTGCCTCCCCCTCGGCCCCTGGCCCTGTCACCTGCCACCTGTCTGCCCACACACTCCCGGGAGGCAGGCAGAGGTGGCCAGCGGTGCCCACAGACGTGCTATGAGTGGATGATAAGCCAGCGTCCAGGCTCAGAGAGGCCGGGGGCAGCTGCGTGCTCCGCTGGCTTGGCGTTTAGAGCCGACCGTGATCCTGCGCCGCTTGGAAGAACCAGCAGGGGAGGGTGGGGTGGAATCTAATCCTGTTCATCCCCAAGGGCCACTAAGCCCTGGCTGCTCTAGCCAAAGGTGGCCGAGGGCCTCCTGCCTGCCAGGTCACCAGCTTGCCAGGCTCAGCCCAGTCAGAAGGACCCCAACAGCCCCACACCCCAAGACCAAAGGGCTCTTCTGGGGGAGGCCCGGGCCCCTCACGCCTTCCCTGCAGTGACCCCACGAGTGTGAGCTGAGCACACTGGAGTGAGATGAAGACCCTGCCCTCAGGGAGCTCCAGTCCCCACCAAGAGGAGACACACACACACAAGTGACATCCCGCAGGGACACGGGTTGAGGAGCCCGGGGAAGTCAGGGGAGGAAATGGTGCTGAAGGATTTTCAGGATCAAGCAGAGGGCCAAAGGGACGTCCTGGGAAAGGGCACGCTTGACACGAGAGCCAGAGAGAGTGACAGCACGCGGCGCTGCACAGGCGCCCAGGCAGGGGACTGAGGGCACCCGTCACCCCCGACCACCGGCAGCTGCTGGACAGAGCCACCCTGCTGTCCCACCAGGCCCAGGCAGGGCGTGCAGAGGTGACAGGATGGGACCTCCGGGCAAGGCCTCCCTCTCTCTGGGCCTCAGGCTCCATGAGTGAAGCACATAACTGTCGCTGTGTCACCCCAAGACCAGAGGCCTGCAGAGGACACATCCCGACCACAGTACTCCACAGCCAGCGTCCACTGAAGGACGAGGGGCCAGCGAGGTGCAGCCGGAGAGAGGACAGTGGGCCTGCACCAGGACAGCTGGCAGGACACGTGGCCACGGCCTTCGTCACTGTGATCTCCGTTGGTGCTGCTTGTGGTCAGAGACCCGGGTGGGAGGGCGCGCGGGGCAGCTTCCAGGCCCCCAGGGTCAGGCTCGCCAAATGGGGGACACAGAGCAGCAGGGGCTGCCCCACCCCAAGCACAGCCCACGGAGGAGGTGACCCAAGGGAGGCCAGGGCTGGGCTGAGAGGAGAGGCAAGGGAGGGCAGTCCCCACCCCCACACACTGCTGTGTGGCCTCAGGAGGGACGGCTCCTCTGTGAGCCTCGGTCTCCTCATCCGTAGCACAAGGAAGGCTGGGCTCGGCCTAACCCAGCACCTCTGGGGTCAGGTGCAGATGAGCCCAGCCTGGCTCCCAGCAGGCGACTAGGACAGCCCAGAGCCCACTGCCCACAAAGAGGAGGCCACACCTCAGGCAGCAGCTCCTGGGCTCCGGCCCCACGGACCCCGGCTCTGGGCACCCCCAGCCTCCTGCCAGCACCAAGCCTCCTTAGACACTGGCAGGTGCCCCTCCCAGGGTCCCTGACCCTGTGCTTCCATCACTCAAGGGCTCATCCCAGGGCAGGGACAGTGGAGGCCAAATCACCAGAGGCCTCACCAAGGAATTCCAACCCCAGACCCTCCACATCCTGGCTATGTGACTCTGGGCAAGTCACTCAACCTCTCTGGGCCTCAGTCTCCATGTGTAAAAGGGAAACAGCAACTGTGCCCACCCTCCCAGGTCCACCAAGGGAAGGAGCGTCCGGGTGGAGCTGGGTGATACGGACTGGCTGTTGTCGCTGACACAGGGTTGATAGACTGTGCTGCCCGCTGCAGCTGGCCTGGCTGTCCATACTGCGCCCCTCTAGTCACCCAGAGGCTGTGTAAGCTGGTGACCACTGGCTGCCACCCCCACCCCCCGCCTCCATGTACCCGGTTCTCGTCGTAGATGATCTGCACCAGGCTGCGGTGCTTGGACTCCATGGGTGGGGGTGACACAGGCTTCTCGGGCTCGGGCGGCTTGGCGGCCTCCTCCTCCAGCTGTTGCTGTGGGCGAGAGCGAGGGTGAGCGTGGGGCTGGGCCGGGAACCCAGCCGCGCCCCGCGGCCCCCAGGGCACCTGTCCCTCAGAGCGGGGCCAGGAGGGGAGCGGAGGCTGGGCCCCGCCGGCCAAGCCTCGGTCCCCCACGGTCGCACCAGCTGCGGCAGTCGGCGGGCCACAGCCTGAGCCAAGGCCCAGCCTGAAGGCTGCTTGCTGTGCAGCCTCGGGAGCAGCTGGACTTCTCTGAGCCTCTCTTCTCTTCCTCTGCCTCTACCCTGCGCCTGCAGGGCTGCCAGGGGCCGGTCAGGGCCCTGTCCTCTGCCCCAGTCTGCCTAGCACAGCCCCCTGCAAGCACCTGGACAGGGTGTCCCTTAGAGCCGCAGGGGAGATGAGGCCAGGGAGCTTGAAGCCCGAGTCATAGCGTCAGAATATGGCCCTGCTCTGCTCTAGAGGCCACACAGCTGCAGTGACCGAGGGACTGGCCGCGTGCACCCAGGAGCCCAGGAGAGCAGAGGCAGATAGAGCCAGAAAGCCAGCACCCCACCTCACTGGCACGAAAGACCGGGGGAGCCGTGCTGTCCCCGTCCCTCAGAGGCCCCTGGAGTTGGGTCAGGAAACTCCAGAGCAGCACCAGGGAGGGTGGGCAGTGTCCCGGCCAGCAAAGGCGGCCCACTGCAGGCACCAGAGAGAAGCAGAGGAGACACCACGGAGACCCAAGAAGACGGCTCAAGGACACCAAGCCTGGGTCAAGCTGGGCTCCCTGCTGCCCATACTGGGTCTTGGTGACCTGCCCATACAAGTCACCTCCCTCTTCCGACCCTCAGTGTCTTCTTCAGTGGAAACCGGTGGCAGCAGTGCCACCTCAGAGGCTGTTTGGAGATCAAAGAAAGCAGCGCACAGCCCCGGGGCAGGGGCCAGAGACCGGCCACCTCCAGCAAGTGGACCCAGAGCAGAAGAGCCCTGCACAGCCCGACGCCGGAATCAAAGCCTTCTTAAAAAAGAAAACCACAGCGTCAGGCAGGAATGTGGAAAGGCTGGAACCTCACGCGGCCGAGGCGGAAAATGGCGCAACTGCCATGGAACATGGCCTGGAAATTCCTCTGAGTTACACCCAGAGGCAGGAGGTGACCCAGCTCCGCTCCAGGGCGACACCCGCAGGGACCCACAACCATGCAGACACACTCCAGCACACTCAGCCCCGCCCAGGACAGCCACCTCGGGCCAGAGTCACTGCGTGGGCAGCCAACACAGCACGAGCATGGGGTAGTACTCAGCCATGAAAAGGAGGGCCAGCACGTGCCACAGGCAGAGGGACCTTGGAAGGCCCAGAGAGAGAGACCAAAGGCAGGACAGGCCTGTGAGGTTGGCCACGCCACAGAGACAGAGCAGCTGGCCGGCTTGGGGGAGGGGCGTGGGGAAGGACCCTGGGGCCAGGTCTCCTGCCAGGAGGCTGGAACGTCTTGGAATGAGGCAGCGGGTGGCCAAGTGTGCCAAATGCCACTGGACTGTGTACGTCACAGGGATGGATTTTGTTTAGAAATTTCAGCTTTAAAAAAAAACAGTCCAAGTGGAATTTAGGAAAAAATCAAAACACAAAACCCGACTGCAGGGGGCTGTCCCCAAGCCACCTGGCTTCCTGCCACATTAGCTGTGGTTCAGCCCTGCCCCAGCCCCAGACCACGCCTGGGAGGAGAGGTGTGGCTTCCAGGGCTGGCATGGCCCTGGACCCCACCCAGCGCTGCCCTCCTCCCTCCCCTGCGGAGCTCCCAGACAGGAAAACCACTGGCCCCTGGAAGCCCCTGTCCCCCTGCCTCCCCCACCAAGTGCCCAGCCCATGGGGTCTCTTCCAGGAAGCCCTCTGTCCTCCCACTCCTGCCCCGGGGCTGGGGAGAGGATGGGGTGGGCCTGGCCCCCACCAGCCCCTGGGGAAACTGCAGCCAGCTGACAGGTGGCCACGGGCCATGGGCACGGTGAAGGCCCAGGCGGGGACCGTGTGGCCCTGGGACCACCAGCAGAGCAGAGAGAGCGGCCACCCTGCGCCAGGAAGACTTCACTTAGGGCCCTGGGACGCAGGCGGCCAAGGACAAGGGCTCCTCAGAGGCCAGTGTCCTCTCTGCCAAGGGGCACCTGAGCAGAGACCAGCTGACCCCGGGGAGAGGACCGCGGGAAGCCGCAAAAGCCGGCCAGCTGCTCGCTTTGAAGTAAATGTGATTTAAAATACAATCACAAAGTGAGTCTCACACCGGCTTCTCCTGTGGCTCCCCATAACGGCCCCCGACCTGGGGACCTGCCACACCCCACAGGGGTCATGCCTGTGCCCACTTCACAGAGGAGGAAACAGAGGCTCCCAGAGGTGGGGCACAGGCCCCGGCTAGCAGGGGCACAGCTGGGAGGCCCAGAGATGGAGGCTGGCTGCCACCAGACGCAGGCGAGGAAAAGTGCCTCGCAGTGGACCCCGGCCCACCCCAAGGCCAGGGGGCAGGGCCGGGGAGAGCCGCCGACCCGCCAAAAGCCTGCCCTCTGCCTCCTGCCCTCCTACCATCTGCCCTCTGACCTGCTCCCTCTGCCCTCCTGCCCACAGCCCCAGCACAGCACGGAGCCTCCTAAGTCTGAACCGGACTTTATTCAAACCAGGTCCCAGCTCCTGTCTGGGGGCTCCGTGCTCCTTCCTAAGGACCCCCTGCGCCTGTCGGGGGACGCCGAGCTCCTGTCTGGGGGCTCCAAGCTCCAGAGTCCCCACATGGGGAGCCTGCCTACTACACTGGCGACCGCCCAGGCCCCCCGGGCCCACCCACACCTGCTTCTTCTTCAGCTTGGAGATCTGCTGCTCCACCATGCTGATCTCGCGGTCCACGCGGTCCATGTTCTGGATCAGCTCCTCCTTAGACAGTCGGGGGGGCACCAGCTCCAACTCGGGGTCGGCGTGCGGGGGGCTGGGGGGCGACACGGGCTCCAGCTTGCCCGTCAGACTGCGCTCCTGCGTGCAGAAGGAGGGTGCAGGTGGGCACGGCGTCGGCACCCCTGCTCCAGCCGTGGAGAGGGCTTCCCACCAGGCCACCAGGGCTGTCCCCGCCAAGGAGGGCACTGGCCGTTGCCTCCCCAGGACCTCCACGCCAGGCCTGCTCCCCCCACATCAGCATCCTGCCCACCTCGACACGAGGTCACTGCCTACCCTGGGCACACCTGCCCCCTCCCCCCGTGCATGAAGCCTCCCTGTGCCACACACCAGACCAGGCTCCCCGAGAACAAGAACATGACCCCGCCTGGCCCCAGGCCTGGCCCCGCAGACCCTCCCTCATGGCGCCCAGGGGAAGCGCCCGGTGGGCACCTGGAAACCCCAGCAGGGCGTGGGGGGTAGACAGAGCCCTCCAGGCCGTGGGCAGGGGCGCGCTGACCCCAGTCAGGCTGCTCTTCAAGGAAGCTCACCCCAGGACTCGGTAGCCCCTGTGCCGGACGCCCAGGCTGCGCCGGGCCTCTGGGCTGAGGTCGGGCGGTACCGCGCTCACTGGGAGCCAAGCTCCAGCGCCCCCAGCAGAGCACCCGGCTCTCCCGCCTGCTTCCTCATCTGTACCTCGGGGACAGACGGTCCCCAGCTCCCAGGCAGCCTTGAGCCTGGTGGGCACTAACATGTGGAAGGCGGGGGCCCTGCATACAGTCAGCGCTCAGCAGGTGCTGGCCCCAGCCTGGGTTTCCAGCTGGCAGCTGCTGGCAGAGGTCTGAGGGCCGCCTCCCGGCCCCCACAGCTGCACACGGACACAGGGGACATTGTCCCCGGCACCAGGCCCAGGCCCACATGCGCCCGGGCCTCGGAACCAGGAGCCACACCATCCCTGTCCTCCCTCTGAGCCAAAGCCAGGCCCTGGGGGCTGAGAGCTTGGGACAGTGCTGGGTGTGTCCCCTGGCCTCGATGTTGCCCTCTGAGGCCAGGGGACACAGGAGCTGACCACATGTCGCCTCCACAGTCCTCCAGGTTTCCTGGCCACAGCAAGCCAGTGAAACTGGGAGCCCAGACCCTCAGGCCAAACGCAGCGCTACCCCGGGAAGTCCCCGTCCCTGAGAATTACCAGGAGCAGTTGGGGCCAGCAGCCCCCCAGGAGAGAAGTGGACAGTGTCCCCTTGGTCCCCTGGGCAGGAGGTTCAGCAGGCTGAGGCACAGAGAGCCCACAAGAGACAGCAGGACATGGCATGTCCACCCACACCTGGCCCTGAGTCAGCCGGCACCCACTGCGCACGGTACCCGAGAGTGGGAGGCCAAGTGGGGGCAGACAGAGCACCTTGGCACAGGGGCCCACTGAGCAGAGACGCCAGATGGACACCCGAGGCGGGCAGGAGCAAGAGACCCTTGACAGTCCCGGTCTCCCAGGTGGCCAGAACATTCCAGAACCAGTGTGGCCACAAACGCCCATGTGTAGTGCATGTCACAAAAGCCAGCTGCGTGTCCACGGGATGCCCCCAGGAGAGGACGAGGGAGCTGCTCCCCACACCTGGCCTCCATGCGGCCCAGAGCCTGGAGGACTAGCCAGCGCCCACCCAGGGCCAGAAGTCCTGCACTAGGAGCCCGGGGAGGCGTCACGGTAGTGAGGGAGGAGCTGCCCAGGCCACAGCCCCAGGGCAAGCCCACCATGAGCAGGGACAGTACAGAGGGTGGACATGGGGCTGCCCTGGATGGCACAGGACCCAGCTCCCTGCCCCAAGGATCCCTTTTCTCTCCCTGCCTCAGGCCTTTGCACGCCCCCTACCACCTGCAACACCTCTCCAGCTCCTCTCATCCCCTGGCAGCTGCAGAGACCTCGTCCCTGTGCATCCCCTGCTGCCCGGGCTTTGCCTGCCCTGTGCGCACTCCCACACCCGCACCCCTGCCCGAGTGGCCCTCTCCCTGGGCACAGGCCCTTCCCATCCGTCAATCAGCAGCAGAACCCATGTCAGCACAGGCTCCCAGCCAGGGCCAGGCCTAACCTTGGTGAGGTCCTCAGAGCCGCTGGGCTGGCCTGTGGCCAGCAGCGCGGACGGCCGCAGCAGGGGTTCGGGCAGCAGCTCCAGGCGCGGGCGCTTGCTCTCCATGAACTCCATCTCAGACTTCCCCAGCTCGGGCAGGTACGAGTGGGACTCGGGGCGCAGGTGGAGCTCCTGAGACCTGCAGAGGCCGGGCACACGGTATCACGCAGGAGGCTGGGACCCGAGGCCCAAGGCCCTCCCCACTGGGCACCGGCCATGGCCCACACCCACTGGACGAGGTCACAGGGACTCAAGCACAGCCCCAGCTGCCCTCAGACTGAGGCCCGTGAGGACGTCCACAGGAGGGAAGCGCCAGGGAGGCACAGGGACACCTGCAGCAACTGCCCCTCCCTGGCCACTAAGTGTGGTCTGGGACCCGCCACGGCAGCTCGGCCAGCAGCAAGCCATTAGCACGGAGCCAGCTCCCCGGACGCACTGAACAAACTGCTCGGCAGTTACCGAGGCCCCTGGTGACGCGGGGCTCGGTCAGACCCCACAAGCGCCACACACCGGACACCACCACCCAGCACCATCCAGGGCAGAGGTCACCTACGGGCCACAGACTCCTGCTGTCAAACCTGACCTGGCCCCTGCTCTGCCCAGTGGCCCTGGGAAGAGATGGGAGCTGTCCAGCCTGGCGACTCCTGACCGGCTCGCTGTGACCCTTCTCCCTGGGGGGTGCGGCCTTGCCTCCCCACACCCAGCAGGGCTGTGGCTCTGCACCTCCACTTCCCAGGACTGGCCACCCGCCAAGGCCTGGAACATTCTCAAGCTGTTTGCCCACACACGGGGGGAGCCAAGCTCTCGCTCTCACCCACAGGCCCTGCCGGGTCTGGCCCCTGCTTACCTCGCCCACTGCCCCAGGGCCACTGCCCACTCCAGCCCTCTACAAACTCCCCATCCCTCACAGCAGTGCGGATCAGGTGGCCTCCCTGCTGTGTGCCCCTCACACTTCTCCCTCTGGGCAGCCGTGGTCCCCGGGAGCTTACTGGACGCCTCCCCGTCCCAGGAGGTCTGGTCCCAGGCCCCTTCACTGCTCCTGTCCACTGTAGCATCCCAGTGACAGGGACACAGCAGGTGCTCAGTCAGTGCACGTGGACTGACTGAATGCCACCCAGAGCCCCGGGGGCTGGGCCGTGTCTCGCTACACCTGCAAGGAGTCCCCGGGCGCCTGCCCACCCCTTCCTCCATAGCGGGTCAGGGTGGCCCTCTGTGCCTTCCCAGCTGAGAACTGCACTGGGACCAGGGCCTGGCAGGAGGCACATGGCATCAACCCAAGTGCTGCACAGTGTCCCCTCGTCACTCAGAGACATGGCCTGGCTTGGAACGGGATCTCTGTGGATGTCCTGAGACTAAGAGGAGGGCCGGGGAGCCACCCTGCTGGCCCTGCCCATGGACGAAGGAGAGTCAGGCTGCCCAGACTGTCCCAGGGCAGCAGCAAAGGAAAGGCAGCGAGAGGAGAGGAGGGGCTCCCGGCCCAGGTGGACACGTCCCTGCACCAGCGGCTGGCACCTCCCTCCAGAGCACACACCCATGTGGCCACCAGGTCAAGGGCAGGCGGGCAACGGACACCCCTCACCTAGCCCGGCCCTGCGGGGGCCCCAGCCCACCCCACCTCCACCCTCTTCCCAAGGCGGCCCTGGGCGGCCCTGCTCACCGTTCATTCCCGGGCTGGAACTCGGATAGCAGCGAGGGCCTCCTCCTCTGGGGCTGCATGACGGGGCCAGGCGACAGGTGGGCGGCGTAGTCGCGGGGCGTGCGCTGGTAGTCCAGCAACCCCACGTCCTGCAGAGGGGGAGACGTGAGCCGGTGGGCACAGGGAGCAGGAAGGGGCTGCCCAGCCCCGCCCTGTCCCCTGCCCCACCTCTGCCCTGCCCCCTGCCCTTGCACCCCCCCACCCGCCCGCCAGTAAGGAAGAGTCACGCGAAGGCTGGTCCACCTGCTCCTCACAGGGACCATCGGTGCCCTGACTGCACCCACTTTCCAGACAACACACTGGGGCCAGGCAGGGCTCATGGGGGGCGCCCATCCAAGGCCACCGGCTGGTGAGGGCCAGACCAGCTGCCCGGACGGCCCCGGCTGCCCAGCCACTGGAGCAGAGGAGGGCTGGGCAAGAGGGGCCCTGGGCCCACCCGCCTCCCTCTGCTGCCCAGCAGGGCGGGCACAGGAAGCAGAGCCTCACGGCCCCAGGAACAAAGCTGCCCGGGGACCAGGTCCAGCGCACGGGGACAGGATGCTGGATAGAAAGGGAGCTTGGCAGCCAGATAGGCGGGACTGAGGGCCCGGCCAGGCGTGGCCGAGAAGGGGAGGCCAGCCCGCGGTATGCAGGGACCCAGTGCCAAGCGTGCTGCATGGAGGCCAGGCCAGCAGTTCAGCGGAGGCCAGCCCCTGGAGGCAGAGCACATGCCACACCAGCAGGTCACCAGGCCACCAGGGAAGGCAAGGCGCAGCTTTAGTGAAGGCCAGCCCAAGTTCTCCAGGATCCGGCCCGGCTCCCCCAGCCATCCAGAGACAGGACCTCACAGGACCTCGCAACCCAGCGCAGGGGGCTCCCAGAGAGACGGTTTGGAGGACCCTCCCCTCAAAGCCTCCTCATAACCAGCCACCCACGGACCCTCGCTCTGCACTTTTTTTTTCTTTTTTGTACTGGACTCAGGGACGCTTAACCACCACGTCACACCCCCAGCCCTATTTTGTATTTTATTTAGAGATAGGGTCTCACCGAGTTGCTTAGGACCTTGCTGTTGCTGAGGCTGGCTTTGAACAAGATCCGCCTGCCTCAGCCTCCCAAGCTGCTGGGATGACAGACGTGTGCTCTCTTTGTCAATCTTTGTGTGTGTGTGTGTGTGTGTGTGTGGCACCAGGTACAGAGCCCAGGGCTAGAGCACGCAAGGCGAGCACCCCAGGGCCAAGCTCCCGTGGCCCGCACTCCGCAATCCCTACCCAGACGGTAGGGCCAGGGTAAAGGCACCCACACCTTCCCCGAGGGCAGGTCCACCTTTGCCAAGCACATCCCTCTCCCCCTGGGGAGAACCCTGTCAAATCCCCTGGGCTCTGAGTGGTAAGGGCAGCCTGGTTTGAGCCTCTCCCCAGAAGACAGATAGCTGTGCTGATCCCAATCCATTCGCACTGTCTGCGGGACACCAGGCCATGCCGTGTGCCAATTGATTAGTGATGTCTGGCACAGACGTGGCAGCAGACACAGGGTGGAGAGTGACTTAGTGTCCCCTGGACATCTTGTCTGGGTTTTCCACACTGTTTCTTGGGAGTGGGCAAAAATACCCAGCCACTCTGTCTTGTCTGGCTTTTAACTTTCAAGCGGTTGTTTTGCAGAGAATCGGGGAGACACCACGTGCAGGGTGGAGTCTCCCTCAGACCCTCAGGGGCCCTGCAGGGAACAGGAGCCTGGACACGGGGTGGGGCTGGGAGGACCCCTGTCCTCCTCCAGGCTATAAAGCCCCCGGGAAGGGCCTCCCAGAGCGGCCAGGGGGGATCCTGCTACGCAGCTTTGGGCTGCAGCTGCCTGTCCCTTACTGTCCCTACCTCAAACCTCGGGAGGCTCCACTCACAAATGGGCACCACCCAAGGGAGAAGCCTCTACGCCACGGTCACCAGGGCTGGGCAGCTGCCTCCTGGTGCCCCCCACAGTGCCCAGCACCAGTGCCCACAGCATGGGCAGGAAGCAGCCAGGGCCCTGGGCAGGAGCGAGCGGCCAGGCAGAGACCTCTCCAGGGCACAGGACAGTGACACCAGGCCTTCCCGCGGGAAAGCCAGATGAGCACAGCAGAAAGAGTGGGTGGAACAGCGCTGGCCACAGGGGCTGGAGAACCCACCACATTGACTCTGACCCCAACTTCCCCGGGGGGAGCCGGGGTCCCTTCCGCGGGTGTCCACTGTGATGTCCACATCAGGGCTGCCCAGGAAAGGAAGACCGGGAAGAATCAACCAAGGAGGCCCACGGTGGTGACCTGGGCTGGACACGGCCAGGCTGGAGCCACCTGACGCCATCTTGGAGCAGTCCRCCTGCCGGGTTGCATGGCGTTGACACCAACACCCCAGACAGCAGCTCCCATTCACTAAACTGCCCTGTGCCCTGCGGCAGGGAAGCCCTGGCCGTTCAGTTCACCCCTCCCTCCGCAGCCTGCGAGGCGGCAATACAGGGCCACGGAGGAAGCAGCAAGGCTCATAGGGGATGAGGGCCTCTCCAGGTGCCACCAAGGATGGGCAGGCAGGATCATGGGCTCATCCTGCCCAGTGGGGCCGGCAGCAGTCCTAAGCCCAGACCTGCCTACTCCCCACGTTTCCAGTGCCACGCCTCAGAAAATGAGGGGAGCCCAGAGAGTGGCCCTCACCCCAGGAGGATCCAGGACACCATGGCTACAAGTCAGCAGAGGAAGTGGGCCCACTTGGGGGCCTGGCCCATCCCCACCCGGCCCAGGCAGGGCCCTCTCTGTGGCCTGGCACTCCGCCAAGGTCCCCAGTGCCAGTCAGTGGCAAGGTGCACACAGGGGCAGAAGCCCCCAGAGCCCGAGGGCTGGTAGCAATGCAGCGGCCCCAGCACGGGCCAGTGCTCTGCCCTGCCCCCCAGGGCCAGCCCCCACCTGCTGCCAGCAGGGGACCTCATACCTGTTGTGACAAACTGGAAATCGCCTAGATGGTCCTTTCTAGGGTGCTGAGGAGCACCACCTAGGGCAGGGCCAGACACAGGCCCACGTCCAAGAGCTCTACAGGGCCCGGGGGGGTCCCCTGAGAGGCTACCGCTGGGGGAAACGGGGGTCCCAGGCTTCGCAGGGCCTATGGGTGGGGCCATGCCCACCATGGCTCCCGCCAGGTCGATACCCACCCACTGAGCATCTGGGGCTGGTCACAGTACGCAACAGGTGTCCAACAGATGCCAGAGAGGACCAGGAAGTCAGTGAGGAGTGAGGGGGAAACTGGGCCCTGCTTGCAGGCGGAGGGGAGCAGCTGGGGGCACACAGGCACACCAAGGCCTCCCATCCCCAGGGCAGGCCCACTGCCCAGCCAGGGCAGCTCCGGGTGGCACAGAGGCCGCCCTGGGCCCCACACCAGGCGTCCAGAGACAGCATGGGCTGAGCCTCAGCCTCTCAGCCACAGTGAAGTAGCGGGGAAGGGAGCCAATGGCCCCCAGGAGACCTCCCCAACCCCAGACGGGAAAGCAGAGGCGGCCACTGCGAGGTCAGCCTGCCTGCGCAGCAGGAACCTCACTCGGGCAAATACAACTGCCAATCAAGAGAGGGGTGGAGCCTCTGTTCAGCCAGGCCCCGCCTCCACCTTCCTAGCCTTCTCTTTTATTTTAAGGTAGGGTCTCGCCAAGTGGCTGAGCCTTGCACTGTGATCCTGCCTCAGCCTCCCAGATGGCTGGCACTGCAGGGGGGAGCCGCCATGCCTGGCTCGGCTTCCCAGCTTTCAAGATGGGAATGAAGACTTTACCAAACACCCCAGGCCTGGAAGGGCCCTAGGGCAGGGCAGCCTCTGACAAGGTGCCCTGCTGCAGAGGGTGTCCCGAGCCACAGCAGCCTGGCTCGCAGGGGAAGAAAGGAGCAGAAGCAAGAGCCCCAAAGGGCGCCACCCCTTACCGTGTGGGGCCGGGCGATCTGCACCGGGTAGGAGATGCCATGGGGCGGGTAGCGGGCCTCGGTGGCCCTCCACGTCTGTGCCACGGGCTGCGTAGATCCCGACATGGTGGCAGGAGCTGGGCCTCAGGCCCTGAAGAACGCTCTGGTGACCACCACTGAGGACTAAAGGCCAGTCCTTGCCATCTGATCACGGGCCACCGTCACAAGCTCCTGTGGAGACAAAAAAGCAGATGAGTGAGGAGGGCAGGCCCTGCAGGACCAGGACGGCCCGCTAATCGCCCACTGATCACCCGCTGGGGCTCCCCACCCTGCTCAATGGCCACTCCCAGCACGGGGCAGGGTACAGAGCCAGGCCCGCGGACAACGCACAGGCCTGGGGTCAGAGGGGACACTGCCCCTCCCAGGCCCAGGCCCTCGCCCACCCACCCCACAGCTACGGCTCCCCACGCCACAGCCGCCAGGACTCTCAGCGTCCCCAGGGCAAGGTTCTCCAAAAGCCCCTGGCAGCTCCCGCATAGCACCAGCCCGGGAGGTGTGGCCAGGGCCAGCTGAGTAGGCCTCTGGTGGCAGCGGGGGCTGGGCAAGGCTGGCCTCTAGGGCCTCCTGCGGCCTCCTGAAGGATCACATCATGACATGAGGAGGGAGGGACCACGCAAGGTCAGGGCCACACCAAGAAAGGTGCTGCACCCTGGGCAGGTGACCGGGACTTCCAGGGTCACAAACAGCACCTTCTCAGGCAGAAGCCCCGTGGCCATGCCGCAGAGAACCAGAAGGACGGCCAGCCATCTTCCAGATRGGGCTGACCCCAGCCAGTGAGGGTTGGCCTTGGGCTGGAGAGAGCAGCCTGAGGGCCACCTTGGCCTGCCAGGACAGGTGCCAGCCAGTGGGAGGGCAGGGCTGCAGGACAGCGAGGCCACCCTGGGGACAGCTGGCCTGAGGCAGAGGCACCCTCCTGTGCATCCTTCCTTGCCCGCCCACGCGGGGCTCCTGTCACCTGCCACAGGATGGCTGCTCGCACAGGGAGAGCAGGAATCAGAGAAGGCCACCTGCAGGACAGCGAGGGCTCTCCAGACACTCGGCGCACAGCCAGAGCCAGGCGGCCCCCAGCATCTCCCTGGCCGCAGGACGGCTGCCCCCTAACTGTGGCCGCGGGAACAAGCCCTGCCCGGCCACCCCCAAGCTGTGTGGCCCGGGGCAAGTGGGTTCCCTTCTCTGAACCTCAGCTTCGGGGCTGCACAGCGGGTGATGTGAGGGTGGCACGGACACAGGCCTCCTGAGCAGGCTCGGCCCAGCCGCCAGCCACACCTGCCCACACCTGCTCTGTCCACCTGCCAGACGTTCTCACCCACAGCCTCAACAGACGAGGGCACCACGTACAGCCCGAGCCACGGGAAGCAGCAGGAGAGTAGGTGGACGCGCGGGCAGGGCACGCTGGGAAGCTGGGGACGGCACACATGTGAGAACARCCGAAGGCCTCCTGCTGCCCAGAGCGGGGCTGGACCACCCTCCCGACTGGCCCTCCCGAGCGGCCACCCCTCCTGCACTGCACGCCGGAGCTGGACCCCCACCCGCTACCTCCCAGGAGCCCTTGTGACACAGACTGCAGAGGGGATCCTGCGCCAGGAAACCCTCGGGCTGCGGCAGCCAGAGCCAGCAGAAGCCCAAGCTCAGGCTCGCCAGCACTGACCAGCATCGGGTGGGCAGTGACGGGAAGCCCAAAGCCTGCTCAGGAGCTCCAGACTGAAAGCAAGCGCCCAGTGACCACGGAGACCATGGCTGGGTCCAGAGTCAACGGGGCTTGGACAGCAGCGCGTGCGGGGAGCGCGGTCTACACGAACCTGGGGGACGGGGTCCTGGCCTCAAGCAGGATAGTGGCAAGCACGGGACCCACAGGCCAGGCAGGAGGAAGGGGAGCCCAAGGCCTGGCCAGGGCTCGGGGACGCAGCGCAGGGCAGGAGACGGGACATGGCCCTGCTACAGACCCAGCCCAGAAAGTCACCGACCCCGACACAGCCCAGGCCTCCAGGCAGCAACCTGTGGTCAAGACTGGCCACTGGAAGCCATAGTGTGGGGGGCAGAGCTGGGGGAGCAGGAGGGTCCAGACGTGAGCGGGCCAGACRAGGCCCTGCTATACCAGCAGCTGACCACCTGGGCCCAGTTGTCCAGAAGCCACAGGGTCCCCTCCCCCAAGTGGACACGCTGGCCTGAAGGGAGGGCACGAGGACCGTGGGTGGCCTCCAGCCTCAGCATGCCAGGCAAGCCACCCATGGGGACACACACCAGTCCTGCCCACTGACACCCGCTCTGCACATCCCACACCCCAGCTCCCGTGGGTGGCCACCCCACTCCCTCTGTCAGGCGCCAATCAAGCTGCTGGGACACAGCTGCTGGTTTGGGGAGGGTGTGACCCCAAGGCAGAGCCAACAAAACCCTCTCCCAGGAGATTCATTGGACATCAGGAAAGACGAGCTCTCCTTCCACTCGGGCTGTGAGGCGCTGAACACAACAGCACCTGGATCCAACTGTGCCTGAAGCTTTTTGTAGTTACATGAGTCTTTTATGCTAAACAGGAGAAACAGGGAGTCTGCTCGCGGCCAAGAGATGGAAGCCTAAACCCCTAATTTTAAGGGGCTCAGATCTCCCTGGGGTCAGCTCTCCACCCTCTGGGTCTCTCCTGGACGAGGAGAGACCCACGGACGAGGGCCCGCACAGGTCTCCACGAGGCCCGGGGTCCAGGCCGCCCACTGGGAGCTGAAAGGCCAGCCCTCCGCCACCCTCCGAGCCTCCTACAGCTGTGTGGCCTCTGCCCGGCGGCCTGCCCTCTCCGGCTAGGTTCCTCCGTTCTCCGGGGCTCCTGGTCAGTGGGGGGAACCCTGCAGCCCGATTCTGGCCCACGTCCAGCCTGTGGCCAAGGTGTCGGGGGCCCAGGGAGCCTCCCGCCTGCTGGGTCCCTCGCTCCCTGGCCAGGACTGCGGAAGGTGGAGGGCAAGCGGGGACCAGGCCTGCAGTGAGGGAGGCAGGGTCAGGGGTGCCTTCCTTCCTGGAAGGGCTGGACTTACTGACCCTGACCTTGTGCTGGACACTCAGGCTTGGCCAGGGCCCAGCACCACCCAGGCCATCCAGGGCATCCAGGGCCGGTAGGCCACYGGGGAATGACCACGGGGCAGCCTTCACAGCATGCTGGTTGTCCAGCAGCCCTGGAGGCCGCCCGTCCCCCTGCAGGGCACCTGGCAGGGCCCGTGCCACCCACCAGCCCTGGTGGCCCCGAGACCCCAGGGCCTGCGCAGCTCCGTCCTCAGTGGTTCCCATTCTACTGCCCTTGTCTCTCACAGGCCACTGGCCCCCGGGTGGAGGGTCCCCTAGGAATCCAGAGTGGTCCCACGCAGGGCCTGGTGCCGGGACGCAGGCATGTCTCTCTGGGGGCCACCCACGCCATCGCACCAGCTGGGACCTCCTCCTGCTGCCCCACTCGAATGCGGCACGGGGTAGCCTCTGCCTGGCCACCGCGGGCTCCCCCAGGGCCCCKCGCAGCAGGCCTGGCACAGGGGCCACCTGAGAGCTCTGAGGGCCCAGGACGCCGAGCCCCAGGGTGCGAGGGGGCCAGCAGGAGCAGACGTCTCCCCAGTCCTCGGGGAGATGAAGTAGGACCATCCAGCAAGCTGGCAGCCCACCCAACCTCTGTCTCCCCAGCCTCTGTCCCCTATAGAAAGGGCCCATTATGACATTACAGGCCAGGAACTGCAGTGAGCCAGAAAGGAGGCCAGGGCCACAAAGGGCTCATTGTCATGCAGATGACCGTGGGAGGGGCGGCCCCTCCCCACTCCCAGCGCCAGAGCTGCCAGGTCACACCCCTGAGCTTCCAGAAGACTGGGCATCTGGGAGCCCCAGATCTGGGCCAAGCGGGGTGCACTCTCCCTAACCTGGCAGAGGGCCCTCCCAGGTCAGAGCCAGATGCCCAGCACACAGAACCCGGGAGGAAAACTAAGGGCCTCCTGGAGACGACGGAGACGATGCCCTCTAGACACAGAAACACCACACATCATGATGCCATTTGTCTTTTAATGCTATGTGTCTTTGGACAAGCCACCTACCCTCTGTGTGCCTCAACAGGGGAAAGTGATTCCATGCCAAGCCACAGGGTTAGGTGTGCTGAAAGCCCCTTCCCCAACAAGCCAGCACTGCGCACGCCCCTTGCCTGTCCCTCTGCTTTATCCAGAAGGAAGGCAGGGGTCCCCCATGGCACTTGGCAGTACAGAACCTTGCAGACCTCCCAGGGCTGCCCAGAATGCCCCAGTCAGGCAGAGGGGCCCGTGCCCCGTGGAGTCCCCAGGGCAGGACCCACCTACAGGCACCGGGTGCCCAGGAGGCCCACAGGCTGGCAAGGGCAGCCCAGGCACTGAGGCAGGGCAGATACCTACAGCTACAGTGGGCGATCCCTGGGGGTCTGCACTGCCCGCCTATTTCAGGTAGAAACGGTCATCCCCGGACCAGCTCAGAAAGCGGGGCCTGGGAGGAGACGAGGTCCCCAGGGCAGCAGCGGGAGGGGTCCTGGGAAGACACCCTTGGGGAACCAGGAGGCGGCCCTCAGCCACCCCCCAACCCCAGCCCAAGGTTCTGAAGCCCCCACCTGGGGCACAGTCACACTCAAACATGGGGGGACCAGGGATGTCAGCCAAGCAAGCAGGGGCCGGGCAGGGTCCCGGAGAAGCATGTTCCAGAAAGAGTGCAAGGGTTCTCGGGCAGGACCATGCCCAGGTCCCCCGGGGACAGCCCACAGGCCAGGAGGTAGGGATGTCCCCAACCAAGTCCCTCCCTGCCCCTCAGGGCCCTTCAGGGCCGCTCTGGAGCCACAGGCATAAAGCCAGCCCTGCCCACCTCCTGGGAGGCCCAGGCCCCAGCTGTCACCTGAACCCCACTTCAGTGAGCTGAGAAGCTGAGCTCGGTGGCCCAGGAGTGAGGCTGCCAGACCCTCAGGGCCGCGGCCCAGCCCCAGCCCCAGCCCAGAGGTGGAGCAGGGAGGAAGAGGAGACTGGGGTCAGAGAGGGCCAGCCACCCGGGGCAGCTGCCCAGCTGGCTCCTGGCCCAGGGTCTAGCCTCTCGTGGGTCGGCCTCGGCCTCCCCAGGGGTCTCGGGGCACCTCCCTTCCGTGACCCTGGCATCAGCCTCCCAGGAGGCACAGGCGAGGCCCAGGGTTCCCCCACTCCACAGGGGGCACTGGGGCCGGGGGCCATGGTGGACATGAACCCAGGATGGCCCGGCCACCGTGAGCAGGCAGACCAGAGGCAGGCCAGCACAGCGAGGCCCCGGGACCCAGGACCCTGCCCCCCACGGTCCCTGCATGGCCAAGGGCCGCCGCCGCTGCCCCTTGCTCAGGGCTGGCCCTCACCCAGGGAGCGCAGTCTGAGCACTGGGTTCGAGCACTCCGTGGCACCGCAAGACTCTGGTGACGGCCACCAGCTGTGTGGACCTCAGCCCGGGTCCTGTGGCCTGTCCTTCATAGTGGGGTAACAGCAGGGGCAGCCTCAGCACAGCTATATGGCCCTCTCAAGGGACAGCAAGGCCTTGGGACTAGGGAAGGGACATGCGCCGGGCCCCCACTTCGGGAGCTGTTCCTGAAGTCCCAGGGGGGCCAAGGACACTCAGAAGAGGCCACTGGCAGGGACGGCCCTGCCGCCCGCCCAGGGGACTCCCCACTGCCTCCTGCTAGCCGCAGAGTGGAGGCCCCGAGCCAGCCACCGGCCTGGCATCCGGTGTGCTTTACAGACACGGGACGGCTGCCACCTCAGTGGGCCGGACTCCCGCCTGGCCCGGCCCGCAGGCCACAGGGCACCATAGAGGGGACCTGGCCTGGGGCTGGTGGGAGCTGTCCAGGGAGGGAGCGGAACGGCTCGCAGGGGCCCGGGGCCTCGCCCAGCCCAGGAGAGCTGGGTGTCTGCCACGCTCTGCCTCGCCTGAGGACCACAGACTGCAGGGGACAGGAAAGGACAGGGGACAGGAACCGCCCCAGCCACCCTGCGTCCACACACAAGCAGGCCCCGGGTCCCAGGGCCTGGGAGACTGAGCCTCCTGGAGGCCGGGAGCTGGACCTGAACCAGATGCTGACCTGCCCTTCCCTAACACCAGCAGCCGAGAGGCCAGGCCTCCGGGCCTCCCATGAGCCAGAGGCCTGTCTTACTGCCCCTTGGTCACACTGCCTCTGGGGTGGGGACCAGCCGAGTATCCACCTGCCAGATGAGAAAGGTGAGACTCAGCCCGTGAAGCGGCATGTCCAGGGCCACAGGGCAGGGGCGTGTCCAACAGGACGTAGACCCCACTGTCTTCTGCCCTTGTGCCCATGCCTGTGTGGACCCCTTTACTGTCCCACATCACAGACAAGGAAACCGAGGTCCGCAGCAGCCAGGGGATGGCCTGAGGCCACACAGCATGGGACAGGCCACCACAGGGCTCCACGGGGCCTGAGGAAGCAGCCTGCACACCTAGAGTGCAGACCACCACCTGCCAGGCTCAGAGTCCCCAGGGGACGTGCTGCTGCCCGCCACAGCTCCAGGCCCAGGCCTCCCTCGGCCTCCCTTCCTGAGGGCGCCCTGTGCGGGGCCCGCCCCACTCTCTAGTGTTTACCCCGCTGCCAAGGTCCTGGACAAGCCCGGGCCGGTGGCACTGATTTCAAACCAGACACAGGCACCAAGCCAAGCGCCACCTCAGTGGGGAGCCGGGCACCGAGGCCAGGCAGCATGGCCACACCAGGCCGCGCCAGGCACAAGCCTGTCCCAGGCCCCCTGGACCCCAGCGCACCCCGGCCAGGCACACCACACTCTGGACAATGCCGGGGTGCGCCGAGGTCCAGTGGGGGTGCACCGAGGTCCAGCGGGGGCACAAGGCCACCGTGCGTCTACTCCCAGGGGACCTTGCCACGCGCTCCCTAGACTTGAGCAACTCTGTCCAATAAGACAGCCTGGTCCACCGTCCCGCAAGCGTGGGGCCTGACCACATCTTCCCAGCTGGCTGAACGCTGCCCAGGTGGCCCCTGAGCCTGGCGACAGGGCTGGGGCTCCATCCACTTGACTCCAGAGACCCTGAGTGGCACCCCCAGCCCACGGCCCATGGGCTATGGCCCCCCAGCCTGTGGCCGCCCTCCCTGGACCTGGGGCCCAGCCACTCCTCTTACCGACCACATGACCGGTCTTGCTGGCAGCTGGGAGCTCCGCTGGCAGGAGCCCCGCTCACAGGGCAGCGGGCGGGGGGCGGCCGTGCCAGCCGGGGGGCAGCGTGGTGCACGCACAGGGGCGGCCACAGGCCTCCAGCAGACTCCCAGCGGCCAGCCGCAGGCCCATCCTTCCTGCAGGGCCGCCGCCAGGCCCGGGCAGCAGCTCCCTTCCCGCGAGACTTGGGCTCCCACCCCAGCCGGCGGCCCTGCAGGGGCCAGGGGGCAGGTGGACCCCCAGGCTCCTGCACGATGCTCCCCGACACCGGAGCAGCAGAGACCCTCAGGGACAAGCTGCGGGGACCCTGACCCCACGGCCAGGACCCAGACGACGGGCCTCAGGCTGGCCTCGCCTCCGGCCGCCGGGCCTACAGCACAGAATTACATAAGTGATCTCCGCTGGGTCGGAAGCCAGGGTAGGAGCGTCCTCCAGCCCTGGCACCCGGGATAATTCCTCATCGCCATGGAAACCTGGCGGGCCGCCAGCGACTCGCTCAAACACCGCGAGGCCTTTTTATAGCTCGGCTGGAAGCCTCTCCACTCTAGCTCGGGAGCCAGCCCGTACCCTCCTTTAACCCGTTCCTCCCAGCTGGCCACACAGGCTCCCAGCACCGGCCCAGGTGGACAGGCCCTGCCCGACCTCCTGTCCTGCAGGGTCAGACGGCCGAGGGAAGTACTCCTATCCTTTGAATCTCAGGAAAAGAAGACGCGGCACAGAACGCCGACTCGAGTCATCTAGGTGACCGGCACAGGGAAAAACACACAGCCTCCAGGCCAGAAACGACGGAGCCCTGGCCGCGGTCCGCATGTGACTCACAGACAAGTCTGAGCGCCTCTGGGTGTCAGTCTGCCCCTGCTGGAGGGCGGGCGGGCGGGCCTGCCGTCCACAGGGGCTAGGGGCTGAGAGGTGGCAGCGGGGCTCAGGGAAAGCTGCCCAAGCTCACCCACAGTCTCGGGTTCACTCCCACGAGCAGTGGGCACATCGCTGGGCACCGCGTGGGCACCGGCCTGGGGTGCAGGGAGGCAGGACCAAGGGTGGTGCACTGACACAGGCGGGCAGGGAGATCAGGGACAAGACCGAGGGGACTGGACTCAGGGGACAGGAGGGCGGCCCCCAGCAGCTCGCACAGGTCCCCTGGGCCACATTAAGTGCCTCACGGGCTGGCAGGCCATGCCCGCCCACCCACCACAAGGACCAGATATCCAGGACAGGAGGCACCCAAAGGACAAGCGGCCTGCCCAGGCCTGGGACCGCCTCTGGGCAGGCCCGTTTGTGCCCTCCTTGCCCGCGGCAGAGCCGGCAAGGAGGCCGCAGGCTTTCACTGACCTGCAGGTGACCAAGCCCAGACTTCGTCGTCAGGCCCCCTCGGCCCTCAGAGACCACCCCAGGGAGATCTCCAGGCTCCCAAGACCCGTGCCCAGGGCAGACGCGGGCCCGTCCCTCTGAGGGCTTCTCTTCTAGGTGGGCAGCGAGGCCGTTCTCAGCCCGGAGCTCCAGGCGAGTGTCTGCAGCCAGGGACTCACCCAGCTACGGGGACAGGAACCCAGAGCAGAGGAGGGTCCAGTGGCCGGGCTCACACCACCAGGCCAGAGAGCACGGGCTGCGCGGTCCTGTTGGTCAGCTTGTTCTGGACAGAGACCCACTGCAGGCCTTCCCAAAGATGCCCTGGGACCTGGAGGACAACGGCCACCTCACAGTGCCCACCACCGGTGTGTCCCTTGTCACTCACAGCCTCGTCCTGCGTCTGCCCTGTGAGATGCGGACACTTGTTGAGTGGCTTCCAGACGAGAGCCACAGGTAGCTGCTTCTGAACAGCCCATCATCAAACCTGAGCGAGCTGGGGTCCAAGACACACTGGCCCGTGGTCAGCACTCACAGACACCTCGTCCCCAAGCCCCTGCAGTGACTAGACATGGCCAAGGTGTGCCAACGCGGCCCTCCAGGGACCCACCTGCATGGAGCACTTTGGGGTGGGCAAGGTCAGCGATGCCACCCACCAGGGACCAGAGCCACGCAAGCACCGGGCAACGGCTCCAGAGAGGACAGGCCAGGTGGCCCAGGCAGGGTCCCCAGCCTCCCGGGGTTGGTTCCATGCAGGCGCCTGCCTCTGCCTCTCCCAGGATCAAGGGAATGCACCCTTCAGGTGGACAGCACTCGAGAGGACCAGACCCAGACACGGCCAGGCCACGGTGGCGCACTCTGCACCCGGGAAGAGACCCTGCTCTGCACCCTCCACCCAGGCTGCAGCTTCCTGGCGGGAGGGGCAGGGGTCAGGTCAGAAGGGACGGGGTGAGGGAGGTGGGGGACGGGGCAGCGAGGAGGAGGGAGGCACTGAGCTCAGGCCTCGGCCTCCTCATCCGAGAGGCCTCCGTGGAGAGGCTCGGGCCACACGGCCTCAGAGGGACACGATTCAGCCACAAGGACGGACGGACGGACATCAGCTAGGATGGCGCGAGGTGGTGCCCAGCCCTCCCCCATGGGGTGAATCCAGAGGTGGAGAGCAGGCCAGGTCGCCAGGGCTGGGTACGGCGGGTGCGACCCCTGGGTATAGCTATCCTTCCGGGTGCCCGGAACATTCTGGAAGGAGGAAGCAGGGTGAAGCCACATGGTGGCCGGTGGCCTATTCGGGATGGTCAACTCCATGTGATAGAGAAAGAGTCACTGCAGAGTGGACCATTCCAGACCAGCGCTGCCCGCCTGGGAGCCTCTTCCAGTCAGGCCTGGGGCTATTGGGTGCTTGGCCAAGGTGTGCGGCCCTACTGTGTGCTCGCGGCCCTACTGTGCGCTCATGGCACTGGAACTGCCCAGACAACAGAGCTTTAAAAGTTAAGTGTGATTAAAACAAAATCCACGCTACCCTGGTTTCCAGGGGCTGCAGGGACAGGGCACCACAGCCTGGGTGGCTGAGAACAACGGCCAGCGGCCCGCCCACAACTCTGAGGGCCAGACCTGACATCAGATGTCAGCAGGCCTCCTTGCCTCCCGGGACACACAGGACCCACCTCCCTTCACCTCGTGGCTCCCAGTGTCCCTGGCGTGTGGCCACTCCATTCCAGCCAGCTTTGCCTTCACGAGGCCTCCGCCTGCCTCCTCAGAAGGACACTGGTTGTCGGACTTGGGCCTCCCTAGTGCAGGCTGGTCTCAAGGACCTGGCCTTCATCACCTCTGCCAAGGCCATTGATCCAAGAGGTCATATTCCCAGGTTCCAGCGGGGACCACGTGCYGACCACACCACCACCCACACTCAGTGAGGCATCACTGCCCTGGCCGCCCTGGCCACTCTGGCCACCGTCCCATCCACTGCAGGCTGGAGCCAGGGCAGGCCCTGAGCAGCTCTGGAGCTGCCCACAGCCCGAGGCCAGCAGCTGGCCCTCTCCTCCCTGAGCCAGCTAAAGACAGACCACAGAAACCCAAGTCCCCTTCCCCAGGAGGCCCCAGGGAGCCCAGGCACTGGGGACAGGCTTCCCTGATGGGGAGGGGGAAGCAGGCCACAGACATGCTTCTCAGTCAGAGGAGGCCACGCCCAGGCAGGATGGTGTGGGGGCAGACTGTGGCCTGCTATGGTGCAGGGCCAGCCCCCTCCCGGGAAGCTGTGGCGGGCAGCTGTGGCGGGCAGCTGCAGAGCCAACGCTCTCTCCAGACTGGCCCCAGCTGCAGCGGCTTCGGGGCAGCGCTGCAGGCATAGAGCATCGGCGGGAGCAGGGCAGGGCCACCTGCTCGGGGACCGGGAGGCCTCGTCCTGGTAGTGGCAAGGGCGGGAAGACGTGTTGAGAATGCTCCACGGGGCCCGACCAGCGAGGGCACGTTGCACTTGCCAGAGTCACGTCCTCCCATGGCGCCAGGCACCAGCTACTGGACGGCCAAGGCTCTTCGTCTCCCCCACAGGGGCCCGGCCTACACCTCTGCCCACGGGGCCGCCTGCTCTACACCTTCCCTGGAAAGCCACCTGTCCTTGGATTTAGCGGCCATCCTCGTCCAGGCTGACCCCAGTTGCCTCCAGGGAGTGCTGACCACTAGACCACCCGTCCAGGGCTCGGCCCCAGCTCCTGGAGGAGCTGCAGCAGCCCCGGCTCTCGCCCTCAGGAAGGCTTTCCAGAGGTGCCGGCTGACTTCCAGGACGCTCCACGGGGCACTATGCCAGGTCGCGGGGGACGTGGCGCTCTGGAGATAAGAGTGGCAGTGAGCCGCGGAGCCAGGTGACAGGCGGCTGGGCCACGGCAGCTTTCTGTCCCACACAGTTTTTTTCTTTAAGAAATCAGGGCCTTGCTTACAAACCCCAGATTTCCAGCTTTTCTGGGAACATGATGGTGGCTGGTGGCCACCCCTCCCTGTCACCCTCCAAGCTCCCTGAGTGTGTGACACCCTCTCACCTGCCCTGCTGTGCRGGAGGCCTCCCTCTTCTCTATAGGAGAAGAGAAGGGAGTGTCTGTCACCCTGGGCTCAGATGCCTGCCCTCCCCTGGAGGCTGGGCTGGGCTGGGGCAGGAATCTGCCTGGGAAAAGCCACACAGAAGGCAGCTCCCTGAGGCCTGTTTGTTCTCCTGGATCCGGCCATGCCTGCACTTGTCCCATCTGAACGGAGCCCTTGTTACTGGACTGGCTCTGGAGGCAAGGGCCAAGTTTTCAGTGCCATGCCCGATAACCAAATCCCCAAACCTAGAACAAAGCGGGGAGAGAACCATTAAACTGGATTTCTGCCCTGAATGTCGGTGAGGCCGACCCCCCAGGGCTACAGAACAGCCTCTGACCCAGGCAGCCCATCCTGATCCCCTGGCCCTGCTCCTGGCCTCGGCAGCATCCCTGAAAGGTGGTGACCTCAGGGCCTTGGCACCTGCTGACCCCTTCCCTGGAAAGCTCCTCCCTCTTCCCTTCCTGTGGCCACCTCCTGTTCATTGTCCAGACTCCAGCTCAAATGCCACCTCATCAAGCTGACCCTTGAGCCCTGTACCAAAAGGAGCCCCACAAAGCAGTCACCCTCCTCCCATCCTATGCTACAGCATCCTCTCTCCCCAGTGTCAGGGCTCTGCATTTTGTATCCCCCGGAGGCCATGAGGCCAGCAGGCTGGCTGCTGGAGACAGGAAGCAGGACTCCCTGCCCTGACGACCCCGCTCAGCAGGAGCAGCTGCTGCATGCCTGAGCCCTTACGTGGTGCATGCGGGCTGCCTGCGGCTGGAGGCCCTGCCAGGAGATCCCAGCTGGCTGTGGCTAGAGCAGAGCACCCACGCGGGCACTGTAGGTGGCACCCCACAACTCCACAAATAACAGGTGCCAGTGACTCTGCTGCCTGGGTAAAGTGCCAGCTGTGTGACCTTGGGTGAGTCTCTGAACCTCTCTGTGCCCTCAGCTTTTCTGCCTATA